AGCAGGAGGCCTTATGGCTTCCTGCCATACTTGAGAAAGTTTTACAGTAGGCAATACCTGAAGGAAAGGGGCAAATGGGTTGTAGAACCAACAAAATCCCAGTTGGAAAATGATTTTTTAAAATTAATTTATTTTTTTATTAATTACAATTTATTCATTTTGTATCCCAGCTGTAGCCCCCTTGTCCCCTTCCTCCTCCTTTTCCTCCCACCCCTTCCCCAAGTCCACTGATAGGGGAGGTCCTCCTCCTCTTCCCTCTGACCCTAACCTATCAGGTCTTATCAGGACTGGCTGCATTGTCTTCCTCTGTGGCCTGGTCAGGCTGCTTCCCCATCAGGGGGAGGTGATCAAAGAGCTAGCCACTAAGTTCATGTCAGAGATGGCCCCTGTTCCCCTTACTAGGGCACTCACTTGGACACTGAGCTGCTATGGGCTACATCTGTGCAGGGGTTCTAGGTTATCTCCATGCATGGTCCTTGGTTGGAGTATCAGTCTCAGAAAAGACCCCTGGGCCCAGATTTTTTGGTTCTGTTGCTCTCCTTGTAGAGCTCCTGTCCCCTCCAGATCTTTCTATCTCCCCCTTCTTTTGTAAGATTCCCTGCACTCTGCCCAAAGTTTGGCTATGACTCTCAGCATCTGCTTTAATCTGCTGGGTAGAGTCTTTCAGAGGCCCTCTGTGGTAGGCTCCTGTCCTGTTCCCAGTTTTCTCCCTCTTCTGATGTCTATCCTACTTGCCTTTCTGAATTAGGATTGATCATCTTACCCAGCGTCCTCCTTGCTTAGTTTCTTTAGGTGTACAGATTTTAGCATGTTTATCCCAGAAGCAGAAAGACATACATGGTATTTACTCACTTAAAAGTGGAAAATGATTTTGTTCACAGTCTGTCTTGTGGTTAGTTCACTCAATTATGTATACAAACCTCAGAGGCCCCTGATAGTTATTCTCAGTTTCAGAATTCAGAATTCATCATAATCCTGTTAGTGAGCCACCCTTAATTCTTCACAAGATCATTCTTGTGATGGGGGCTTTATTATAACCCAACAATGAGAATCTTGCAAAACACAACATGGAGTTAACAAATACATGCAAGAAAACACAGATAAAGATTAATTGTTAAACAAGATAAGCCAACAAGGGTAATCCTTGTGATATACTGGCCACCTCTGAAACAGGATTTTAAAAAACAAAAAGCTGTTCTGTAAAAACTGGCGCTTTTGTCCCAGTTGCTAATGGACTGAAACACAAGGACAAATATATGAACATTCTCTCTTCTTGTCATGTCTGAGAAGTAAGTAGTTCTTGAAACAGACTATAGCAAGTTTTAAAAATATACCTGAACAAAATTCTAAACTGACAGCAGGGTATGTGGCAGGCTGCAAGGAACCACGGCCCGCAGTCTGTGGACTGTGCTTTGATGTGTAGTAACACCACTATACATGACCCTCAGCACGCCCAGGCTGACCCCGACCATCTGTAAAGACACGGGCTTCAGCCAACTGGAGGCGGTGAAAGATGGTGTGTCAGATGACAACCGTTATTCATTTAATACGGTATCATATATGGCATTAAATCCTTAAGGTGATCTTGAGCAATAATAGTAAAAACTACAAAACTAGAAAGTGAAATAACATACACGTAAAACATGCATTGCCTGGAAATAATTTTAAAAATAAAAAATGATTTAAACTTTTTAAAGTTACTTATTTTTTTTTGTGTTTATATATGTATGTGTATGCCTGTACCATAGCATGTGAGGAGAGGTCAGAGGACTACCCAGGTGAGTTCTTTTCTTCTACCCTGGGATTGAAATCAGGTGGTCAAGCTCGATGTCAGGGGCCATCTCACTGAACCCCAATATTTTTGAGTTTGAAACTAGAGTCTTGTACAGATTAGGTAAGCACTGAGCTGAATCCCTAGCTCTTGATTATTTGATACAGGATCTTCCTATATAGCCCTGGTTTGCCTGAAACTCATTATGTGGGCCAGGCTTAACTTAGACTGTGGCCCTCCTGCCTCTGTCTTCCAAGTGCTAAGATTACAGGTATGTGTGTCCATGCTGAAGTGATTATCTTAAAACAAACAAACAAACAAGCAAACAAACAAACAAACCCAACTACTGAGAACAAAAGGAGTCCAACACACACACACACAAAGCAAATGCAGAGTAGCTAGTTCTGTATTCAGGAAAAGCAAATTCCAGAACAAATTCTATTATTCATCATTAATATATGTAAAAAAAAAAGGGAAAATATACTCTGTTTTTCATGTTAAAAAAAGATTTGACAGTTATAGTATGTTAGTTAGTAAATTAAAAATGAGAAAATTACAGAATAAGTAAATTGGAGACACGGTCCTTTGGGGAAACATAATAAAATGTATTGCTAAAACTGACAGAAAAAAAAAAAAAAAAGAATGAGCATAAAAGGGAATGACTACAGACAAAGAGAATGGGAAGAATCTTAAGAAAAAATTGTTAAAGTCTATTCAATTAAATTTAAAAACTTGGAAGATTTTTCTAAGAAAAAATGATCAAAACTGATTCTATAACAGATACCGAACAAAGAAAAAACCAAACTCACAAATCATCATAAAGAACAGGACAAAGCTAACTGCCAAGGTGGCACATGCCTATCATCCCAATATTCTATAAAACCAAGGATGGAGTTGGCTTGGCCTACATACTAAACCCCTGTCTCAAGCAAAATACAAATACAACAAACAAACAACAAAAAACCCCACAAAGCCTCAATAAAATTTGGAGTTATGCTCAAATGTCCTTCCAGGTGGCTTCCTAAGAAAGTGAACTCCAAAAGATTAACTTCAATACTAGTTAGACTGTTGCAAAAGACAGATGAAATACAGTATCAGATCTAAAAGAAGACAACAAAAATTAATGACAAAATTGTAACTGGGTATGGGTATACACTTTGCCCAGAACTAGGAAGGCTGAAGCAGGGAGAACATGATACATTCAAACCTGAGCTACATAGTCAAATCCTGCTTCAAAGATCCTAACCAAGAAACCAATCAACCAATCACTCCAGCAAGCACCACCACAAAGCCCCTCAAAGATGAGCACTGAGGATCAAAGGAAAGGACCTGAAGATCTGTGACAGGTACATGAAAACAGTTCAGTGTTTTGAAAAATAAAGATCCAAATTTACAATCATTCATAAGAAAGAAAACAGAAGTAGACAAAGGCAATGTTCAAAGTGCTATTAGTACAAGGACACTGAGGATTAAACAGAATTTTGTAGTCTAATTTAAAAGTTATTTTGCATTCAAGGCAAAGTGATTGGAGACCAACAATGGAAGCCTCATGAGATGTCTAAGCATACATACATACAGAGGTTTATTGGAATTACCCCACAAGAGAAGGGGTAATGCCTCAAATAGATACGTCATACTAGCAAAGAAAAGCCTCAGTGCTAGGAATGGGTTAACACTTTTTGAGTTGGCTATTGGGGTCACACAGACCGCCAAGCATTACAAGTTATTGCTTGTACTCCTGGCTATCTCCCAGGGTCTTAACAGTAAGACCCTGTTGCTGAAGACACTACATGCTTGAGTCACAGAACATGGAGACATCAAGCTGGACAGGCTGGTGTTCACAACGCTGGAAGTGCTAAGTGTGGTGCCAGAGTAGAGGGCTAAGCATCAGGCTCACCAAGCTGTGAACTCTGCAAGCTATAACAACACCTGGCCTGACAGGACAGGCCCACTGGTTATGAGCAGTCATGAATGTTATGGGAGTAGCCAGCAACTATCTGGTTAGATCAAAGACCTGCTCTAGGAGATGGAACCCATATCTGGCACTATTAAAGAGACCAAGAACTTCTGGATAAATAGGTCACAGGGCCAAGGGGAAAATCCAATATCATTATTCTGCTAAATAGACACAGTACTGAATTGATTCCTAATGACTTACATTGCTATACCCTTAGATAGAGTATCTCTCAATCCTCGCTAAAAAAAAACTCTTTGCAGTAGATGAAAATTAATACAGAGATCCCCAACTAGTTAACATACAGAAAACAAAAGACTGTGGCACCCTTATCCCTAAATCAGACATTCATATCATACCACTCACACCAAGGTTTGGGAATCTTTGTAGAGGAGGTGGCCAAAAGATTATGAGAACCACAAGTTGTTGATACTATCAAGAAAATAGTGTTTTCTGTATCTAACAGGATAAATGTATATATGAACTTAACATATGTGACAGCATGCAGAGACCTTTGCAAGCCCTACCCAAACAAAATTTCAGCACTAAGGAAGAAAGGTAAACATGTAATCCCATCATTAGCTAAGGAGCTGTTAGCATTTGACAGCCACTGGGAGGAGAGTCAGTTTCCTTTAAGGACGTGGCTTGGTGAGCTGACCACATATCAGTGTCGGCTAAGACTAGGCAACACAAACTGGACTTGAGAGGGCAAAGAAATAAAAAGAAGTAATCTCAAAGTTCAAAGGCAAGGTTGGGGGGTAGAGGTAGAAAGGGTGTTAAGGAGAAAAGCTGATGTGGATTGATGATGATGGTACATGTGTGTATATGCTGAAAATGCATTTTATGAAATTCTCAAAGAATAAAAATATTACAAAAATATAGATAGGCAATTAATAAAACCTTCCAACAAACGATCAACTATTGAGATGCTCAAGTTCAACAGTAAGCAGGTAAATAAAACATAAAACAACAATGAAATATCACTGCACTGGTTATCTGATAAGATGTAGGGAGCGATATCACACTGGTGGAGCACACAGTCTCCCTCAGACAGATAACCAATAGGTAGTGGCTGTACAAATTGGTAGTTGCTTTAGCAGTAGAAACCTGGCAGTACTTTTACCAGTTCTATAGAGAGATATGCTATAACCCTGAACTTCTTCACAGAGGTGTGTGATTTTTAAACACACACAGACACACGCATGCACACACATACATGCACGCACACATTTAGCATAGTTTTGAGTGTATAAAGAATCTAAAACATGAAGTTACCTTTTGTAGAAAGAGGACAACCCTGACAAGCATCTGAGCACGGTGTTCTTCCAGCGTGAACAACGTACGGGGTGTTCGAATGAAAATTTTGGTCTTCCCATAAGCTACGTCATCCTGAAAGCCACATCGTTCTATGAGTTTCTTGACAGCCTCTTTGTCTGAAGGAAGGTCATGATTAGGCCAGGTGAATTCAGAGATCATCTTGTACCTGGGTAAAGAAAGAAGAGGGAACAAATCCAAGCATGGAAAAAAATGTATCATCATTTTAACAGAAAAACTTCAACACAATTTTAGCCAACTGAGAGATATGAGAGATATGCCTCTCATTAATCTGGGGAGATGAAAAAAATCTCTTCATTAAAACACTTCTTCATGATAATAATTCTTACTAAACTAGAAATAAAAAAAGACTTCCTTAATCTGGAAGGCTACTCACCAAAATTTTATAGCAATTATCATTTGCAAGTAGGAGACTGTGGAAGCATTCTTTTTACAGACACAAAACACGAATGCTTCCATCATGGGTTCTCAACACTGCTCTGGAGGCCTAATTAGCACAGTGAGGAAGAACAATACTGACAGCGCTTAGGAATAATGGGACCCACTTCAAAGGGAATCAACGGATCTTTGGATAAACTCTTGAAACTAGCAGAAAATGAAGCGGTGTTAGGTCAGCATATGAGAATGAACTACTATTTGTAGTTTGCTTTCTTGAAGATAGATTGTGTTGAGTGAAATGAACCCAGACTCAGAGAAGTGTTTCTGCTTTCTCGCATCTGTGGAATCTCGGCGTGAGAGCAGATATGAAAGTAGAAAGAAAGCTAGAAGGAGGTGAGGGAGGGGCTTAGGGAAAGCAGTGGAAAGGTGAACCGATCCGTGTGCTGTATTCAACATGAGTGTCTCAGTGAAGCCTGTTATTTCATATGACCGATACCTGCTAATTAAAACGTTTTAAAGCAAGGGAAGCATGTGCGTGCTAGACGGAAGCATCAGTAAATTACTCTGTAACCTGGCTGAGTGTGAAGAAAAACTCTGCTAAGACTCAGATTCAGTATCAAGAAAAATGACTTTTAGCTACAGGTCAGTGCTGCCAAGGGTGTGGGAAATCACTGTGCAGGCAGGATAAAAACGCCCCCCTCCTGCCATGCACTCATGCCGTGAGTGCTCCCTTAAAAGTCCGCTGAAGCTCGCAACCGCTTCTTATGTAGCTCAGGCTGGTCTCTAATTCATTATATAGTTCAGGTAAGCACAATCCTGATGCTGCTGCCTCCCAGTGCTGGGATAACATGCCAAGCCTAGGATGGCTTTTTAAAAGGCGGCTCAAGCTTCACTAGATTGTCTTTGCTTATAATGAAGACGTGCATTGCCTCTGCATCTTCATATAATATTTAGGAGTAGGACACATCTTTAAGGTTCACTGAGAATCCCTCTTTTTGACTTCCTATCTTGGCTGTGCATCTGCTATTTTAAAATTGTTTAGTTTGTTTTCTGTCAACGTGACAAATGCCATGGACAAAAGCAATTTAGCAGAGGAAAGGGTTTATTTCAGTTTATAATTACAGGTCACAGTCCATCAGTGAGGGAACTTAGAGCAAAGACTCAGGCCAGGAACCTGGAAGCAAGAACCATGAAGGAACAGATGTGACAATAGGACAATTTGATCTGATAATTCCTCAACTGAGGTTCCTTCTTCCCAGATAGCTCTAGATTGTATCAAGTTGACGATAAAAATTAACCAGCACATACACATACATGTTTTGTACTATTTGAGAATGTATAGGGTAGGAATGAGGTATTTAATCTTGAGCCACTAAGACTAGAATATTGGAAATTTATAGGTTTGTGGGAATAAGGTTGGGGTATGGGTGCATGCATATATGTATATGTGTATGTGCGTGTGTACATGTAGGCCAAAGGTCAACACTGGGTGTCACCCTCTATCCCTCGCTAATTTTTTGAGACAGGATCTCTTACTGAACCCAAGGCTTGCCATTTTCATCTAGACTATCTGGATATTGAGCCCCTGGGATCTACCTTTTTTTGACTCCTTCTCAGCTGGGGTTAAAGATGCGAGCGCTGTAGCCACTTTTCTATGCGCGCTTATAAAAGGCCTCACATGTGTATGGCAAACACTTTACCCCTCATCCATCTCTTCAGTCTCTTGTATGTTCTTTGTAATCTTTCTGTTTTATACAAATATTGGAAAACACATTCTAGTGACCAGTATTTTTTTCCGTGCCTCAAATGAACACACAAATACCTTCTGAGTTGAAAGCTAAAAAGTCCAAAAGGAGACAAAGGGTAGGTAAAGGTCGCTAGTAGAAGAATGCCTTTTCCCTTCACGACATGCGTGCTTACTGGTTCCTTCAACCACTCTCATGGCTTCCATTGTATCTCAAGGCAACACACTCCCCGCACAGCCCCTCTAATGGTTACCACTCCCACGATGCTCACTATTTAACTTCTTCTGGCTTTGTGTACAGGAGAACAATGTAACTGATAAATTCTCCATGTAATAAAGATGAACCATAACTCTTTCTAACGAAAGAACTGGACACTGTTTGAACACACCTCTACTAGCAGAAACACGCCTTCCACACAGCCGATAGATCTGTGTGGTTTCAACAGGAACAATGGATCAGTTTTAAGCATTTTTTTTTCATTACTATAAAAATGAGCTCCAGTTTTTCAGGCCGCTGTTCTATAAAGTTTTATTCATTTCAGCCAAGAACATCTCTTTGGTGTGATCTCCTTTGCACACACATGGCTCAATACTAGTGCTGTGGAGAAGACATGTCAACACTAGGTGGTTTCTTATGCTTGTCATCTCCTATCTCTAACAGGCCCTCTTTCTCTCTGAAGGCAAGCCTACGGAACAAACTCACTTATCTCCTCTCCCGAAAACAGCAGTTTTCAACCTGTGGTCGAGGCCCCTCGGGGCGGTCGAATGACCCTTTATCAGGGGTCACATATCAGATAGCATGCATCCCGGACATTTACATTACAAACAGTAGCAAAATTAGTTATGGGTAGCAACAAAAATATTTTTCTGGTTGGGGTCACCACAACATGAGGAGCTGTGTTAAAGGGCCACAGCGTTAGGAAGGTTGAGGACCACTGCGCTAAAAGAAGTGTTCTTTCTCACTTTGCCTCTACTGTCCTCCGCCACGTCTCCTGGTTCTTGCTCTTACTCAGGATCGTGCCTCACATGTCTCTGGGGAAGCAGAAATAGATAGAACAACTGCATCTTTGCTGCCAGTGAAGCTTCGAGCCTTCCTGCACCTGACATGTCTTCTAGCCGCATCCCACTGTCACAGGCAAAATGCCTTTGCTCCATCTCAGGCTGCTGTGCCTTCCAGTCAAGTCTGTGATTCTATCCTGTCTTGCCACCTTAAGGATGCTTTTACTACCTTTATACCCCTCTGTCATGTGCATGGGATTTCCCCTGTTTTTAATTATCTCCATCTATGCACATTTTGTAGCCTCTCCTGACCACACATCTGTTGTATTTCTGACTCATCATAGCCTTTCATGCACAAGCCAGCCTTGTCATCTAGCTGCAAATGCCTCCTGAATATGTCCACTACCCATATGTCTACAGTAACGCACGGCTGAAGACGCTATTGGCAAGCTATCTTTTCTGCAGTAGGAGAATTTCTAAACATCTATTTGTTTCTTGGGCATGTGGTCACCATGGTGATAATATATATAGGACATATTATATGCTTAAAACTAATTTCCATTTTAAACATATCATGCTTAAAACTTACTAATTTAAACATCCCAATGCTTTGGTCTAATTACAAAGTTCAATACAAATCAGGCCCTGTCTATTTTTTGCTATCTCACACCATGCCAGACACTTAGCATCTTTAATCTATACTGATCATGTGATTTTTTTTTTTTTTTTGAGACAGGGTTTCTCTGTGTAGCCTTGGCTATCCTGGACTTGCTTTGTAGACCAGGCTGGCCTTGAACTCACAGAGATTTGCCTGCCTCTGCCTCCCCGAGTGTGGGATCATAGGCAGGTGCCACCATGCCTGGCGATCATGTGCTTCTTAAAGCGCCACACTCATTATGCATTCTGCTGGCTATTTTCTGTCTGACCTGCTCTCTTTTGACTTTTGTATATTTGTGTAGTCCCTGGAACTGCGATCTCCTTAGAGGCTCCTCTGACCTGAAACATTACAATTTTCTGGTTTAAGTTTTTTAAATTTATTTTTATTTGTTATTTATATTTATGCGTGCCTGTGAGTATGCTATGTGTGCTCAGGTGTCTGAGCCCTGAAGAGGGTGTTGGATCCCTGGAGCTGGAATTACAGGAGGTTGTGAGTTGCTACCAGCTCTTTGCCAGTCTTCATTGATTACCCATAGTGAAATAATCTTGGCATCAGTATAAGGTGTTATGATCTCTCCTGGGTCTATTCCTGGTAATTGATGTAGTCTCATTTTTCTTTTATAATTAAATCAGAAACCTTTTCTATATGTCTTTAATATTTTTACTTAGTCTGTGTGCTAAGAAGATCCATTCTAAAATACTATCGTCCCTTTGCATAATGAGCTCAGTAGGAGAATGAGTTGAAGGCAAAATTACCAAAATACAGTCCAGTTTTGGATCTATCAGTCCACATATGCATCTTGCAGCCTCTTTTCTGCCAAAGTTAACTCTTTCTTTGCTTCCTTTGTTAGATGTTTTGGATTGTCAAGTCTGAATCTCCTTGTAATGTTTAAAACAAATGACTTAACTCTTGAGTAGTTAATCCAGTGGGAGAGCATAGCCAATCAACAACTCTCACTGATCTCTTCTCATCTGCACCTTCTGTTGTTGAATTTTTTGCTGACTTATTTTAAAACCTAGTGGATAGAATCTCCTTTCTGTGGTTTTTCAGAAGCAATCCGAAAACCCCAACAAAGCAATTTTTTTGTTGTGTTTCACAAAAATTTTCTCTAAAGTATCGGCATCAGAATCAGCCATCAAAATATCATCCATATAATGGCAAATAATGGATTGAGGAAACTGCCTACAAATTACTTCTAGCAGTTATTGCACAAAATATTGACACAGAATTACTCTTGCAGGATAGTAAAAAGGCAGTCTTTTAAGTCAAGTACTATTAGGTACATGCATTAGGTAGTAAAGAAGGTAAAGGAATTCCAGGCTGAAACAGACTCATTGTTTGGATTACTCTATTCACAGCTCTCAAATCTGTTAACATTCTTCAATTTCTGTTTGCTTGCTTGTTTGTTTTGAGGCAGGGTTTCTCTGTGTAGCCTTGGCTGTCCTGGACTTGCTTTGTAAACCGGGATGGCCTCGAACTCACAGCAGTCTACCTGTCTCTGCCTCCCCAAGTACTGGGATTAAAGCCACCAGGCCCAGCTCCAATTTCTTTTTTAAAAAACATATGCAGGGAAATTCCATGGGCTGGTAGACTCCTCCATACGTTGAGCCTCCAGCTGCTCTTGTACCAGCCACTCAGGAACCTGTGATTTTTGCTTGGTTAAGGGCCACAGCTCTTGCCACACAGGCTTGTCAGTCAACCATTTTTAAGGTAGGGCCATTGGTATAATTTCAGCAGTGCCCCAACCCCACGATGAATTTGGAAATTCAATCCCCATTGTGTCCCATTTTTAGACAACCTGCACAGTCTTTGGTTGTTCTGGATATTTTTCAATAACTTCTCCAGAAACACCTGAGTTCCCCACTACTGTAATAAATCTTGTCCTCGTAAATTTATGGCTACGTAAGCCACATAAGGCCTTGACTTTCTGATTTAACATTCTAGTCCCACACATTTAACCTCTCGCATCCTTTGTTTTATCTGAGATAACTATCTAATTCCTAGAAATGGAGTATAAACCTTTTGAAGAGGCCATTTTGAATTCCAAGATTTTTGTGAAATGATAGTTACATCAGCTTTTGTATCCACCAAACCCTCTCCTTCAGTGTCATTCACTTGCAACTTTACTTTTTGCCTATCATTAACAACTGTTTGCCAAAATACTCATTTTCCTGTACTTACAAACCTTCCTGATATTTCTATTGGAGCAGCTTTGCCTTTGATATAGGGACATATCAACAGCTGAGCAATCCTATCACCTATGTTAAATCTGCTTTTACATAAGCCATTATTTTAATTTCTTCTTAGAAATCTTCATCTATAATTCCTGGATGTATAATGAAGGAGCAGTCAAATTGTTCCTTCCTAAGACCATTCCTATTGTCCCTGAGGGCAAAGGACCATAAATCCAGAAGTTATTTATAACATTTAATTTTTGTGGATGGTGTAAGATGTTTATCTTTGGCCAAGTCTAGAGCAGCACTGCCTGCAATAGCATGCATTAGATCTACAATACCTAGTTGAAGTTTCTCTGCCTGCTTGTTATTTCCTCGCTGACAAGAGGCAAATGGCTTGTGCTTTTTCAAGCCAGGCCCCCATTTCATTTCCTGATGGCAAGAAATTGCCCTGGATATCTGTCTTGGATCTACCCTCATTTGTCCGGTGGCAACCTTTGCCACACTGCCTGCATACCCCTGGAAGCTTAGGCCTTCTTTCACTCTTATATTTAGAAAAAACACTGCCTTTAGAGATACCTTGTTCACAGTTTTGTTGTAGATGACCACATTTCCCATAATTAAAGCACTGGGCAATTTTTGATATCCAAGACCTCTAGCTGTAGCTTGATCTATGACCTATGTTTCTTTTAATGCTGTCTCCTTTTCTCAAACATTGTAACCAGTTCTCTTAACTCCAGCTAGCCCTACTCCCAGTTTCCAGTCCAACCCCTTCAAATGTTCCTCCCAACCATTCCTCCCAGTTTTTAGCCTGGCCCCTTTAAATGTTTCTTCCAACCACCCCCCACCCCCAAGTTCTCCAACAGTGTGCTTAAACAGTCCCTTCTCCCAGTTTTCCAATACTACAACTGCTCTAGCCTATCTGTTCAGCTCAGCTTCTCCTGGTTCAATTGTCATCAACTGCCTTCTCTTCTCACTCTGCTAGCCCAATTCACTTTCAATTGTTTCTATTTTCACTGTGCTTAATCTCTTCTTTTCTCTAGCCCTACTTAGTCTTCTTTCTTTTTGCACAGTTGTCTTCTCTATCTCTACTCAATCTTTCTTCTTCCTGCACCAACTGTCATCACTGACCTTACTCTTTTGCCAGCTGGAGCCTACCACTCTTTTCTCTTAGCCTCTGCTGGCTTTTTTTTTTAAATTAATTTATTTTTTTAATTTATTTTTTATATTAATTACACTTTATTCACTTTGTATCCCAGCTGTAGCCCCCTCCCTCATTCCCTCCCAGTCCCATCCTCCCCCCCTCATCTCCTCCCTGCCCCTCTCCAAGTCCACTGATAGGGGAGGTCCTCCGCCCCTTCCATCTGACCCTAGCTTATCAGGTCTCCTCAGGACTGGCTGCATTGTCCTCCTCTGTGACTTGGCAAGGCTGCTTCCCCCTCAGGGGGAGGTGGTCAAAGAGCCAGCCACTAAGTTCATGTCAGAGACAGTCCCTGTTCCCATTACTAGGGAACTCACTTGGATACTGAGCTAAACAGTATCCAATGGAATGGGGTACAGAGCTAAACAGAGAATTCTCTGTAGAGGATTATAGAATGGCAGAGAAACACTTAAAGAAATGCTCAATGTCCTTAGTCATTAGGGAGATGCAAATCAAGATGACCCTGAGATTTCACCTTACACCATCAGAATGGCTAAGATCAAAAACTCAAATGACAATATATGCTGGAGAGGATGTGGAGAAAGAGGAAAGAGTCCTTCTCCATTGCTGGTGGGAATGTAAACTTGTACAACCACTTTGGAAATCAATCTGGTGCCTTCTCAGACAATTAGGAATAGTGCTTCCTTTGCTGGCTTTTTAAATACTCTCCTGTTCCCAGAAGTCCAAGAGGACAACCAAGAAAGAAGGGCAATAGGGTCAACTGGGGATCCTTTAAAGAGCCAGGCACACAAAATAAATCATAGTACAGTTGTATGCTAATTCACTGTCTTAGTCAGTATTCTACTGCTGTGAAGAGACACCATGACCACAACAATTCTTATAAAAGAAATCATTTAATTGGGGCTTGTACACAAGTGGACATGCTGCTGGAGAAGTAGCGGAGAATTCTCTATCTGGATCCACATGCAGCAGGAGGAAAGACACAGGGCCTGGGATGGGCTTTTGAAGCCTCAAAAATCACCAGCCCTAGTGACATACTTCCTCTAACAAGGCCACACCTACCTCAGCAAGGCCACATCTCCTAATCCTTTCAAGTAGTACCACTGTCAGCATTCAAATATATGAGACTATAGGGGCCATTCTTATTCAAACCATCATACCCATGTAGATGCTAGGAATAGACCTTAGGTCCCCTGGAAGAATAGGAAGTGCTCTTTACCACTGAGCCACCTTGCCAGACCCTGGTTTAAGTTTTATGTATTTATATACTCACTTTTTTTTTTTTGTGTGTGTGTGTGAAATCTACAGTCCAGAATGGCGGAAACATTTATAGACATTTAAAACGATTAAACTGATGAACTTGAGAACATGTTCCTAACTCCTAGTTGCCAGGAGTCACCGACACTACCAGTCCTAAATCAATAGCAGCACTATCTCACACTCAGTGACTCCTACAGCGAGGTGCTGTTCTAAGTGCCTCGTGTCCTTCATCCAAGTCGTCCAGCACCCTTCAATGTAGTTACTACTTCACTGTCATTTCACACACAAGGAAACTGAGTCATGAAAAGAGTCATACAACTAGAAAGTGGTAAATCCAAGATTAAAACCCGTTAGGCTAATATCACAGCCTCCGTGCTTAACTTATTATAAAGATGATAATTACCCTATCAGTAGTGACAGCAGTACTGAATATCTATGGTGTGCAAGGGACTTGGACTTTTATTTCATTCTCACAACAACCATTCAATAAAGTTTTAATATTCATTTTATGGATGAAGAAATAAGGTCAAAGAAGTGAAACTTCGACTTAAGAACAAGCAGGGAAGTAAGTCCTACAATAGCGTCCTAGATAAGACTCTAAATCCATGTTCTTCACATTGCCATCAAAATGCCTGAACTTTCTTCTATGGTCTATAAGCTACAAACTCAGGGCCTCTGCAGATTCTGGAGAAAAGTTTCTCATATATGCAATACTTTTCTGTTCACTTTATAGATGCTTGCCGATGGCCAAATATAGGCTGATGTATATCATAAATCTGAGTGCTGTTGCCTTCTGCTGTGTACTCTGCCCTTACCTGTGAAGAAACTTCTCATAGGTCTGGCGGAAGGCAAACCCTGCCCGGCGCACTCTCACATTCTCCAGTAGTCCAAGGTACTCCACCTGATGGCGGCAGCGCTCATCATCAAATATCTGTGGGGACTTCTTGTCATTGGGTTTGATGCAACGTACATAGTAGGGTTCCTAAAGAAATAAATAAGCAATGACAGAATTCACTTAGACCCACACAAGAGATGCTAGCATGTCATTAGTGTCATTTGTGTCAAATTAAGTTCGGTGCCTCTGATCACCTGGGTATATACCTAGGTATATACCTGCAAATGAAGCATTCTTCCTTTCTGCCTCTGTTCATAGTAGTTCTCATGTAACTACTGGTTTAGATATTACTGTTTAAGACTCATCAGAATTAGTAGAAAGGAGTTGAAGCTAAGGAGCAAATAATTAAGATGGGTAAACACTGAGTTCTGTATATTTACAAAAACTGAAGGAATAACTCGAAAGAAGAGAACACAGCAGCTGTGATAAAGATCAACTGTAATAGAGAACGTGATAGATTGGAGTACAGCTCCCTGAGTGTCGGCCATTGCCGTTATAGTGTTTTTGTCATTGCTTTTGTTGCATTAGTTTGTGCTTCTGAAAGAGATTAAACTTTATGGGTAACAAAAACATTACAAAGCCATCTATAGGCATTAGTGATTCTATGAAAAATCCCCAGGAAAATTTTCTCCTCTATACCAGTAACATTATGTACTAGGCCTTAGATATCAACCCCTGTTAAATATAAAGCCGCATTTGGCATAGATCCGTGTACACTGGGAATAATGAATAAATTATCACTGGATGAACTGAAGAGGTCAAATATATCCTACTTATAATAATAGTGAGTGTCTTTCTTTTCTCTGAGTCCATTATCCATCAGACACACAGATGCACGCTAATTAAGACAGAGTCCCATGCAGTGACATTAGGCAGTTTTGAGCACTGTGGAGCGGTTGAGATGGCAATGGGTAGAAAATGATTTAAGAAGTAGGATATTTTTGAAGAATGTGAATTGATTTGCACTTAAAAGAATAAGTTTTCAATACCTAAAACGAAACTATAAATATACATTTATCATGCTCCCTACACCGTTGAAATAAAATTGTCTTCTTCCCCTTTGCAAATCCTGCTGTATTAGTTTCCTATTGATGCTACAGGAGATGATGACAAATTTAATGGCTTAAAATAATATAATTTTATTGTCTCACAGCTGTGGAGGCTAAAAGTCTAAAATGGGTTTCAATGGCTGAAGTCTGTGGGTTATAGAATTATTACTTTCGGGGGACCTTGGAGACAGCTTGTTTATCTTTTCTGGGGTGATGGTTAACTTGCTTGGCCCGAAATGCATCTAGGAGATTGGTAAAGTGCTCTTCCTCACTATCTGTGAGGGTGCTCCGGTGGAGATTAACGAAGGGGAGAGTGAGCAGCACAACCTTAGGGCTGGGCTACCCTTCACACTCTACCTCCTGGCTTCTGTGACTGAACAGCTCTGCTCCACCATGCTCTTCTCGGCGTAATGGACTGAAACCAAGAGTCAAAATAAAACTTGCCCCTTTTCAAGTTGTTATATCAGTAATTCTGTAAGAACAATGAGGGCTGACTCCATCTCACATACAGCAATGGCTAGCTGGGTCTCCACATATCAGTGCTCTGCTTCTGACTATTTTGTCTTCCTTTCCTTACCAAAGGGCTCAGTGATTATATACTGAACCCACCCAGATGTTTTTGCATAATCCGTAACTTTAAGGATTGCTAATAAGTTCTTAATTTCACCTTTCTGTGCAACACAGTTACAAGGGAATTAAATTCTAAGTTAGGCCATGGGGGAATTTATGGAATAACAACAAAAAAGTAAATACGGCATAATAAAAGGCACAGAGAGCAAGTTATGCAGTCAATGATTTAATCAGTCACGCCTGTACAATGAAACCCTAATTAAAAACTCAACACTCTGGCTTGGAGGACGTATTGCTGTATTGGGTGAATGGTCCAACCTTACTTACTTTTTGGAGGCAGAAAGCCACAGTGCTTTGGACCTTACTTCCATCCTTTGCCAGCCTATTTATCTTTTCTTCTGGCTGTTTGTATCTTTCATAATAAAACTGCTACCATAGGGATAACATTTCTACAGTTCTGTAAATCATTCTAACAAATTAGTAACTGTAAAGAAAGGCCAAGGAAACTCCAAAAATTGTATCCAAGTCATACAAAAGTGTGTGCCGGAGACCTCACTTGAAGATAGCATTTGAAATCAACATCAATCTTACTAGGAACTTTGCCCTTTAACTTGTTTAACCTGATGGCAACTTTGGCCAGCGGTGTCAGAAGGGAATTAAATTGCAAGATACCCAGCAGGTATCAGGTTGGTGCTACTAGGTAGGGCCATTATTTTGTCTAGCACACCTGTCTTTATTTTAGTCTTGACACCTAAGAGTGAAAAACATGACCATGATATTTGCAGCATGTACCATTAAGGGGCAAGAGTCTCTGAATCTGGGCTGGCTTTGTGACTTGCTTTACCAATACAATACAGGAGAAGTGACACTAAGCAACATGGGTGTCCATGAGAGGCACTTTACTAGCATGTAAAGAAGCCAAACACTGCATGAGTAAGATGCCCAACCATCTAGTCATGCCATTTGAGTGAGATCATCTTAGATTGCCTATCCCCAGCTTCCCGATCTTTGCTTGTTGAGCCCAGCAGAACTGTCCAGCCAACTTACTGAATCATGAGGAATAATAAGTTGTGGTTTTCTTAAGCACTATATTTCAGAGTAATTTGTTATGCATCAAGAGATAACTGATGATAGGCTTGAGGCCCATGCCTTTAATCCCAGCACTTAGGAGGCAGAAGCTCTCTATGAGTTTGAGGACAACCTGGCCTTCATAGCGAGTTTCAGGCCAGATGGTTATACCCTGTCTCAAAAAACAGACAAACAAACACTGGTAATGCGATCAGATCCTGTAATACCAATATTTATAATTTAAAATATTTTTGTATATTTAAGCAGAGGATTTTAAAGCAGAATCCCACCTTTAAAACCATCCATAGTTGGTAAAATTTGTAATAGTTTTCAAATGGAGAATTTATAGCTTACTCTTGAAAGGGCTCATGATAATTTTTAAATAAATTTAGTGACATGGAGAAGGAGAAGCGGTCATTATTAAGTTAAGATTTTTGGTGAGTCTTTTGGCACAGAAGGTCTTACTGCTTGGCGAATAAACCAAGACAAGTGGTACCAAGCACAATAAATATCAAAGTGCTTTTCGATCTGTCTGCATGTTCTGATGCTGGTGCAGCACTACAGAGAATTGGCATACCTGTATCTTAGTGATCTTTGCTATTAACTAGTATGATTATTTCCTTTTTACTGTCAGCTCAACTACACTTACAATCACCTGGGATACTAATGTAGCACACTTCCGTGTGTGCCTGTAGGGACAGCTCTGCAAGGAATTAACAGTAAGGTTTATGGTTCTGCAGAGGACTGTGTAACACCTGGCTGGAATGTGGGCAGTACCATCATATTGGCGGGAGGTCTGAACAGAATAAAAGGAAAAAAGAGGCATCTGAGTATCAGCATTCATCTTTTCTCCCTTCTTCTGGTTCTCCATGAGAACTTTTCTGCAGTACCAAGCCTTTCCCAAGAGAAACTGACTCTTCAAATACAATAAGCCCAAATAAATCTTCCCTAATTACATTGCTTCTGATGGGTACTCTGCAGTGCATACATACATACATATGTACACATACATATATTCAGGTACATACAAAGAGACAATAAAATAAAGAAATCTTTAAGAACTAAAAGGAAACCATACAAACACTAGTCAAAACAGACACTTGCATAATTGTATTATTCACAGAAGGCAGACTTAAAAATAACAATGAAGAAAGGGATGCTTCAAACAGACGAGTGTCTCAATCAACAGAAACATGATAGTTCTAACTTGAAGGAACACAAAATATTTAAAGAAAAGACTGAAAGTACATGAGATACATGAGTAGTCAATATGGTTTTTAACTCACCTTGCAACCCAACTCAGAGATTGATAAGGATGCTGTAAAGTTGACATTAGTATGATAGCCAACCTTGACCCACTGGGACTTGCACAGAATACTGAATATAAGCTATCTTTAAATACGAACAAAACATACCCATAAGGACAGTTTAACAAATTTCTAAGGACAAGAATCATACTGAGGATGTCCCCTGGTGAAATGATGAAGTTAGGCATCAAGAGAAAGAGAGATAATTAGGAAACCTTCGTGCTTGAAACATACTTCTCAGTGACTTTGAGGTCAAAGTTATGAGGTGAATTAAAAAATACTTTGAACTGAATACACACACAGTGATGTGGACACTGCAATCGGTGCAAGGCATCACCTGAGGCAGTACTGAGACTCTACTGAACAGATAAGAAATGGCATCCAGGAAGCAGAACTACCACGATACACTAACCAACCAACAAGTGGGGAAGTCCCTTCAGCCTGTTAGTGATGTAAGACATTGAATATGGAAGCTAGTGGAAATACTTTTTCTATATTTAATCAGCATTCTGTCTCAGTTTATAAATGCCACCTCCTCTCTCACTTATAAATACCAAGACTGACTCAGCCTAAGCTATCCTAAATTTGACAAATTTGGTGTTGTATAAAGGCTAGGCTGCCAGAGTTCATAGCCATCTCATTTTCTTAACCTGTCTTCCTAGGTTTTATGTGAAAACTATAATTTGTAAAGGAATGCTGAATGATGCATGCATTTTAGCTAGAAGATAATGCATTTAAGTATACATCTATTTGATCTGCTTTGCACACTGTCATCAAAGCATATTCAAAATAATTTAATAATTTGTTGACCATCTGTTGGTAGCATTTTATAGAAGTATCAAACTGTACAGAAAGGCCTATTATTTGTATTTAAAAGCTATCTAGGTCATGGATTCAAGGTGAAGGGAGAAGGCACTACATCTGAAACACTGTGAAGAAGCTTCTCATGGAGTTCCACTTCTTGGAAATGGACTAGGTGGTGCTCACTGGCTTCCAGTGAACCCTGACAGAAGCAGAGGAAACATGGGGCAAAGGCTCCAGGCCTCCTCCACACACTGCTATAAAGTAGTAAGGACATTTCTGGTGCAGATCAGAAGCCAACAAGCCTAAGAAGCAGTGCAGCTGCAAGGATGTTTCTGGATCCTGGTGCAGATCTCTAGTGTGATAGTGAGCATCCAAGGTTGGTAAACACTCAGCTTCTCTGTTTCAGAAAGAGTCTGCATTACGTCTTTGTTCGCAGATAATGCATTCTCTGGGTATTGAATTTTGGTCTTTTTCACTCTGCCTGATTATTATTCATTGGAAGCTAATCTATCTTTTCTCTGGCTGTTTCTAAGAGACTTGTTTTTGAAACAGGTGTGGTGGTACTCACACATAACCCCCGCACTTGGGAGCTGGAGACAGGAGGAGCAGGAGTTCCAGATTATTCTCAGCTGCAGAGGGCTACAAGACAGCCCGGGCCACACAGTAAGACCCTGGCACCCACACAACAAAAGCAAACCACAAGTCGCTTTGCCTTTGATGCTCTGCACTACACTATGTATCACATCAGATCTCCTTTAACTTTCCCAGCTTGGGGTCTGCTTGGCTTCCCGGCTTGCCTGGCCTGTGGGATCTTAGACTTGTTGGGCACATTTCTTCAAGAGTTGCTCTGTGTTCCTCCCCTTCTGTGTGTCTGAGTACATGCATGCTTGCTGTTTGCATTGTCTCCATGTTTCTTAATATTTTATAGCTTTAAGTGTCATTCTAGATGACACTTAAAAATAAAAAATTCTTTTATTTTCACTATTATTTTTGTTCAGCTTTATTTCTGTAACTAGTTATTTGTTCTTTCTCATATTTCCAGGCCCTTCACTTGAGTTACATTAAACATTTTATATTTTGGTGTGTGTGTGCAAATGGGTATAGCTGTAAGAATGGCTGTGAGCCCTGCAATCTGTCTGTCTCTGCTCCCCAGCACTGGGTTACAGAGATGTATCACCACTCCACTTTTACATGAGTGTTGGCTCTGAACTAAGGTCCTCATGCTTGAACCAGCTCCCCAGTTGTAGATTCTATTTGTGGTTGCTCTAATATCATCTGGGCCTGCCTTTTATTCTCACTTTAGCACATGACATCTTTTTTGTTGTTGTTTCATTTTATTTATTTTTTTAATTTTTATTAATTACACTTTATTTACTTTGTATCCCCCATAAATCCCTCCCTCCTAATCCCACCTTTCCTCCCCCTTCTCCACGCATGCCCCTCCCCAAGTCTACTGATAGGGAGGTCTTCCTATCCTTCCTTCTGATCCTAGTCTATTAGATCTCATCAGGAGTGGCTGCATTGTCATCTTCTTAAAAGTCACTTTTAAAAAAACTTCATTATTTTCATTTATAAAACTTACTTATTTTATGTGTTATGAGTGTTTTGCCTGAATGTACACATGTGTACTGCCTGTGTGCCTGGTTCCCATAGGGGCCAGAAGAGAGTGTCAGTTTCTCTAGAACTGGAATTGCCCATGCTTGTCAACCACCATGTGGGTACTGGGAATTGAACCTCTGGAAAAGCAACAAATGCTCTAAATCTCTGAGCCATCTCTCCAGGATACCACCGCTCCCACCCCCTGTAGTCACTCTTCACAGTGAGCTTCTATTGATTTTCTTAAGACAATAATTGTGTTTGCTTTTTATTTTTTCAGATGCTTGGGTTAATACAAGACCCAGACTTCCTTAAACTAAGCTGCTGGGTTGAAGCTTTTTAAGCTTATTCAGGTAATGTGAATGTGGGCTGCAAATCTCATTAAAGCTGGCTTATAACTACATATTCTTAAAGACTCACTGCCTTCCAACACCTGACACCTTCCTCCTAAGTGTCAGAGACTGAGATAGGCAGTTTCCTCACTGACAATGGAGGGCTATTTCTAGTTCATGCTACATTGGTCTTTTGGAGCTGTAAGTCTTTGTAGGCCTCTCTCTCTCTCTCTCTCTCTCTCTCTCTCTCTCTCTCTCTCTCTGTGTGTGTGTGTGTGTAGATTAATTCTCACTCTAATTTGGGCCAAGATTTCAGTTCAAGGACATAGACTGAATGCTGACTAACTGCCCTCAAACCTAGATATCTCAACAGCCTAATAGGTAAAAAGGCAGCTTTCAGGCTGTGCTTCCCCTCAGTTGATTTCTCTGTTCACACAGCCCCTGGTTTACATGCCCCTTCATTTGACTAGCTCCTTGTTGCAACCAGAACGTTGATTTTTAAAAAGTTTATTTAATACTTGTTTCAAGGATCTTTAGTGGGCACTGTATTTGCCATGCTACCAGGAAAAGCAATTTTATAAATACTTTCAGGATCTTTTGTCTGTGTTCTTACATTAGCCTTATGTTGTAACAAAACTCCCCTAATGAGTTGGGTGGTACCCTCTCTTCCCCCCTCTCACACAGCGGACAGGTGCTGTGGACACAGGTGCTGTGGGGAGCGGGGGGGAGAGAGGCTACCACCCAACTCATTAGGGGAGTTTTGTTACTATGTCGCCAAGTCTGGCCTGGAACTTGCTGTGCGGCCTAAGCAGACTTTAAGGTTGCAATCTTCCTCAGACTATACACATATATTAATGAAACAATGATTCGTTCACCAGTTAACTGAGTAAACATCCTCCACAAAGCAGTTAGCTCTTTCCTGTGTTGCACGCCTTCCTTCTAGGTTCACTTTCTTCTCCTTGGATGCAGCAGGTTAAAGATGACATGGAGAGAAGTAGTAATGGGAGGGTCAGGGCTGTGGATGGCATTGTAGCCTGTATGCCCTTCATCTGTCTTTCTGGAAATTTAATTACACAGAAGGATGGACTGTGCTTATTTGCTCTCAGTTGCGGCTAAGGAATGATGATGGGAAGAAACAGAAAGTCACTGAACAGATGTGCACTTGTGACATTTGTTTAATATAACCATGGTGAAGTATAGATGTAAATTAATTTTTTTGAAAGGAAAATAGATCTTAAAAAAGATAACAACAAAGAAGAAAACATACAATAAAATTACCAGAAGAGAAAGATACAAAGGAGCAAAAAATAACAAGTCCCAGAATGCTGCTAATTTATCAAACCTGTCAACAGCAGCATTTAGGAGTAGAAACCTGTTCTTTAAGGAAGAGAAAAATAAAACCAATATTTAAAAATAAAATGGAAAAATAACCAGACTCAGGTTACCAGACATTACAGTCAAAGTAACAGAAAAAAAATTAGAAATAATTGTCATTAATCATTCCTGAAGTTCAACCATTTAAAGCAACGTGAGGATACTATCTGGCAATTTGCTGTTCAAGCACAACACATGGATGGCATGTGATTACAGTTACATTCAACTGTTTCCACCTTTACTCCCTCCCCTCTCTGGCCATGCCCTGCTTTCCAGCACAGATTCAGTAAGATTTGCCTGTCATGGTATACCATACAAGTAGTTAAAACCACAATGGCAGTTTCCCCTTGACCTTAACAGTAGAATAAAAAGTTTGAATTTAAGAAAGAAAATCATCTGGGATATAAACAACTATTTTAGTAAAGTTTTTTTTTTTTTTTTAAAGCAGAAATAAAAATTCCGTTGTTCACTTTGAATATATACTGTTCAAGTTAATTAAAGATAATTATCTAAAAAGGTAAACTATACACGTGTTCTCCACAATGTATGTTAACGTAGGCTAAGCGGGAATCTATGAATCATAAAGGACGTTTCGGAAATAATTACCTTTGAAGCAAGGTTGTCTACGAGAGCAATCATAGAATTCTTAAACAAGGTGGCAGCAGTCAGAGGCCTCTTGGTCACCTCTGTAATGCTCAGTTTGCCTTCAGGCCACATATTCTTCAGCACAGGATTTGAACTGAGAAACACAGAAAAAAAAAAAAATCAAATGAAGCATTTCAATAAGGTGACTAAAAAGGCTCAAACCGTCCTGTTAATCTGTGGCCCAGGAATCACAGTGCACTGCAGATGGAATTCACGAAACCTAAGTGGAAAAACTGTTGCATCCAGGAAACTATGATTATACGATGACTAATACTGCACCACAGAAAATCTCCAAACTGTAGCACTTTAAATATATTCTTTAAATTTCTTTAAAGTGACATCCACTAAATTACCATGTAGATCTCTTGTGTCGATAATGTGGCTCTTAGAATACACACATACATATGTATTTTATTTTACATAAATATACACACATATATCTGTATAATACAGACTTTGTAATGGCTTAAAAATGAAGTCTCTGGCAGGAAAATGGTTCTCACGTCATGGCAGACAATAGGAAAGTGAAAACATCTACTAGGTAATAAATACCTGACTAGGGACATAAACTTAAGTGTTCGGATCCAGTCTCCTGGCAAAGCCATCCTTTCAGGCTGGATTTATGAGCACCTTCACAAGCAGTGCTAGAGGCCCCAGCACTATACTGCTGTCACACTAGGGCTACTGTGACCTAAATCTAAACCTGCACTGCAGGCCAATTCCATGTTGAAACCACAGGTTTGTTACTTGTGGACCTATGACTCTGTGGACATATTTTCACATAAGATGTGTGTAGGACCTCGGCTGTGATTTTCTTCCATTTCATTTAGGGTGCTTTGCACTTTAATGTAACTGGGACTGGAAATGCTGCTTCATTGGGGGAACTTTTTTTCTTGTCAGAATTGTTTTTTCTTACAAATTTGGGGTTAGAAAATGACAATAATTAACATAGGCATTCACAGCTAATTGTTTCTCCATCATCATGTCCACTTTTCTTTACCTTGTGGGAAACTGAGTTGGTTCCCCAAAGTATGCTGTGAATTTCTGTTTCACACTTGCTCAAAACAATCACTGTGAAATGGAGGAAAGTCTGATGCCAAAGCAAAGAAGTGATGAGGGGAGTTGGCTGGGTCTGCGAGTCCAGAGAGGGTAACACTTCTGACTGCCACCACTGTGTAGGACCAACTACCCAACAGAACCAGAAAGACAATGTGAAACTCTTTGATTTGAAAATAGGTTGATTGCTATGCAGTTCTCTTCCATCATTTCCAGTCATGCCCTTATAAAAAAATAAGCACATAAACACACCGTTTTCCCCTTAATTCCTTTAGCAGAGAAGCAATTCAAGTGATGGCCCTTTACTTGTGCTGTATGGGGTTCCTACACCTTCCAAGCAGGCTTTTCGGGCAGTGAAAAGCTGTGCTGTGCACATTTGGAGAATTCTTACACGTGCCAGAAGACTGAGGATCACTGCTGTCTGGATCCACGCAGTTTCTAACCCGAATTCTTCCCCTCTCTCCCAACAGTGATGTTGGTTGTGACTGGATACTATTCTCAAATAATGTAAGTGGAGGGAAGAAGGAAGACTTAAAATATGGTTATATATCATATTAAAGTTCATATAAAAAATCCAGAGAGATAGAGTCATTTTAAAAGAGAATTCTCAGGCCAGTAGTCATGCATAAAATATTATCAAAACAGATTATTTAAAAGATAACTTAAACACCTGGATATTTTTATTTTCTCTTTTAGATTTACTTTTATTAATATGAATGTGTGTGTGTTACATGTGTGTACATGCCAGAAGACGGTGCCAGATCCTCTAGAACTGGAGTTACAGGCAGTGTGTGTTGCCTGATATGGGTGCTGAGAACTGGACTCTGGTCCTCTGAAAGCGCAGCCAGCCCTCCAGCCCTTAGAACCTCTACTTATTTATTTTTAAAAGGAGAAACAAGGCCAGAAAGCTAGCATCTATGAAGGGTAAGGCAGATGTGAGCAACAGGAGGACGAGTAAAAGTTCAGGCCACCCACCTGCTCCATTCTTCCATTTCCAGACAGACCTGTGTGCACAGAAGAATCACAGTGCACTGCACTTTGTGCATGTGCAATCTGGGGCTCTAAAGACTAAAGTTCCAAGAGTCACATTAACATATACCAAAAAAAAAAAAGGATGCATTCAGATTTTGGGATGTTGGTCAGCCACAGAAACATCAAGAAGTGTTCACAGGTGAAGGTGCCTCATCTAAGTGCATCTCATTACAAGGTCTTCCCCCATTATAAAGACACATGGGGTAAGCAGCAGTGAGCAGACGTTTAATCTTTTTACTGCTTAGAAGATGATAAAATGGATTCATCTCACCCCAGCCCAGTACCATTAACTGTCGGTTTTATCTAAGTTCCTTTGTTCTAACTCTATGCTTACCAAGCACACAGCAAGCTGGCTTTATGGGTAATATTTTTCATTGTCAATTAGTAAGCGAGTGTTCACTGCTGTTTGGCTTCCTGAGCAGGTTTTTTCGGATAGAAAACAACCTGTCATACCAATGCAAGAAGTGCACTCTATGTGACTACTCGATATTTCCAGAAATGCATCCGTGTGTTACTTCATTTCTACTTGGGGCCTGTGATCCTGGACTATTGTTAGTCCACCACTGAAAGGTGCTGCTCTGTCAGCTTATTCTCTGGGCCATGATAAATGTGCAAATGTAACAAACACTGTTTTGTGTTTCTTTTTAGACACAAGCTTGACAACACACTATGACATCATCACTAGCCAAATGGTTATTTTTCCAGTTTAACATTTTCTACATAGAGAAATGCTAGATTGCCATTTGTTTCTCAGCTGGTTGCATATTACCTGATAAACTGAACATTGAATTTCTTTTCTGAAAGTCACTTTTTCCTTCTCCCAACTCTTGCATGGACTCACTTTCCTATTCTGATATCTTTGTAAATTTCTACTACTGACAGCTTCATCCTCATTCTTGATGGCTTCAGAATTTACAGACAAGCCATTTTAGAGCACAATGTCTTGAGAGAATCATTTAAACATCTTTTGTCCATCTTTTCATTTTCTATTCTCTCTCAAGTCTGCATCAATCAGACCTTTGTCTTGACCACTGCCCAGAAATCAGTAGTTTCAAGAGTTCCATGACTTGTTCCATGAGCAAACAGGGTTGGTTAATCTTGGCACCATTCCTGTTTTCTATTTGATATAGTTAATTGCTGTTTTAAAAGAGATTTATTTATTTCACGTGTATGTGCATGAACATAAGCACATCGAATTCATACACACTTGTATAGGTCCAGAGAGGGTGTCAAATCCCTTGGAATTGGAGTTGTAGGCAGTTGTGATGTCTGTGTGCTCTTTGCAAGAGTAGCAAGTGTTCTTAACCTCTGTGTCATCTCTTACACCCCGCTTAAAAATATTCATTTATTTGTTTAAGTACCTCCATGCCCCACTGGGCTTCTGTAACACTGGATTTCTTGCTTTCTTTTTATTTTGTAGAGTGCCCTCAGTTTTTCTTTGTCAGGTTTTGCTTTGGCTAAATGCTGGACCATTTAGGGATCGATTATTTTTACCCTCTTCTCTTCATTACTGTTACCTTTTTTAAAAAAAAATCTACTCACTCTTCCAGTCTCATGGTCTTGAATACAGTCCACATACTGACATCATGAATAGGTATCTCTAGCTCTGCCTTTCCGGAGATGCAGATACAATTCCACAGTAGCCTGTTTGTTATTTTCGCTGGGGTGCAGGATGCACTTCAGACTTCCACATTCAAAACATGGCTTGTCTTTCCACATTAGGCTCCAGCATCACGTCTGGGTTCTGGCTGTCCCATCAGCTCACAGCTCAACCTCCTTTCTGAATATTACGCAGTCTGACCCTTTCCCACCTTGTCACTGCTAAGCCAGCCTCAGTTGGTCTCCCTAGTTCCACTCTTGGCCGTGACTGTGTTTTTTACAGTGACATTAGTGATCTCTTCAGTACAAATCACACCAGATCATGCTTTCTAACGGTTTCCCCTCTCTCTTCATACTTTGGTCCTTCTGTTGGCTCACAGACTATGATTCTGGTCCTGCCCACCTCTCAAAATTCACTCCTTACCACTTTCCCATCTCTCACTCTGTTTTTAGCAAACAGCCTTTGCTGTCCTTCCTGCCCTCAATAACCTCAAGTTGGTTCCTCACTGGGGGCTTTGGACCAGCTGTTCTCCCTGCCGGAGCTACTCTCCCCACACAGCAGTGTGCTTCCCTCCCCACTGCATACAGGTCTGCGGATGCTGCCTTTAATAAGGGTTCCTCCTGGCCATCCTATTTTTAATACCTGAGCCTCCACTCTTAATGTTTCACCTACTTTTTCTGAAAGTTATATATTGATTATTAGAAAAAAGTGGTTTCTAAACTGTATTCCCCGCTGTATCTCAGGCACAGAAGGATATGTGGCTCAAAAGGATATAATATAACTTTGTATTCTGCTGAGGAACTACTTAGACTTAAATGAGTGAGCAGAGTTCTCTTTCATCTACAGAATGATGGCCAAGAAGCCTCTTTCATCTTCCTGAGCCTTCTCTCTATACCGGGTTTAGAGTTCTATCCTTTGCCTGTTTTAGTTCTGTATAGCCTTTTGTCTTTAGGTAGTCTGTGAGGAAATTCTCTTGCCCAGTCAGGACCAAGGCTCAGTCATGTCAGGCGTTGGTCCGACAGCAGGGTGGCTTATACCTGGTGTGGAGAACCTACAGTGGGACTCTGAGTATGTAACAGGGTTAGGTTACCAAAGGCCACCTCACACCTGTCACCTCTGGCTCGGCTTGGGGACTGCTGAGTACAATGGTACAGTGTGCCAGAAGGCTGGTGGCAGAGGACACAGACACAGAACAGACACAGAGACAACCCAAGGAGAAGCAATACAAATCATACTGATAGTGGCTCCTGCCCCAAATCTACAGATTTTATAATTTTGAAGTCATAAACATTTTCATTCATTAAGTATAACAAAGCAGAAAAGTGTGCTAAAAACTCTTTGAACTGTCATATAAAAGTATCATATATATGCAATGTATGTCAAAAACCTTAAGGCAAAGGTAATAAACAATCGTACCTGTTATACATGAGACGCTTGAAATCTTGAAATAAAGTATCTTTATTTTTGTCAATAAAACCAATGACAGAATAGCTGGAGAGAGAACAGAACGCATGTGTCATCACCATGTAAGAGCCACGCTTGAACTTCTCTAGACATTCACAGGCTTTTCTGCTAGTAGTTTTGCAATCCAACTTCTAAACAGCCGCTTCACTTAGCTCTGGGGCCAAGACCGGACTTTACACACTAAATAAAAGGACTGTGCTTCTCTCCTTCAGGAGGAAAGTGAACACCAGTCCCATCATTCTGAGTCAGAACATAACTGTCTACTGGCTAGTGCTTACCTCAAGATGATGACTTCATAATAGATAGCTGTATTTATCATTCAGCGTTCCTAAGATAAAAGCAAAACAGCAACACACAGCAGCTAATGTCTCATCCGTGGGGGGTTCAAGTGACTTGGCTAAGTACCACTCAGTATGCAGGGTATGAAAGAGTCCAGGGAGAACTGCAAAGGATGGTAAGAACGGGATAAGCAGAGAAGAAAGGACCAGCAGATCACGTGGGGCAGCAGGCAGAAGGAAGGGCTGGAAGCAGGCACATGCAGAAGCATCACAGAGGTACGAGCTCACGATTCATGGTCTGGAGAAATGCAGGAAGTAAAGGCTTTGAAAGTTCAGCTAAGATGGCAGTTGTGAGAAGAGCACACGGCAGGGGAATTGTACTGCTGCAGTGATTGGAGAAGCCTCTATGAGGAGCTACTCCGTGCTGGTGTAAAAGAGTAACTGAGGTTCTGGGTGATTAGATGCGGGCTAGGTGACTGTGTAAGCGGTAACTCTAAGCCCCTTCTTATCAGTCCTGCTCTCCTGTCTGTCTCCCTTTTCTACTTGACAATCACATGAATGCATCTCAGGTCTCTAACCCTGACCTTTTACCTTACATATTTAATTTTACAAAACAAAAAATTATTCCAGGTGTGCTATCCACAGGGATTTTAAGGTCACCACATCCAAAATCATTTTGTTGCCAGCCTAACCTAGATCTTCTTCCCAATACCTTCCTGCCATTCTTAACTGAACATGTGAACTCCCCCTACGTTTACTCTATTGTTAAACCCACACAGACTGAATTTCAAAGAGCGTCATATAAGCAGTCAAGCTTCATTGTGATTTGAGCTCAGACTACTTTTCCAGGCACTTCCAATCTGTAATATAGGAAGGATGGATACACTCCTGCTATTTCCTGAATATTTTTTCACCACCCTTCCCACTTCTTCCTATAAAAATAATTCCTAACACCCAGAGCCCAGCAGCATCAGCCTCCTTAGCTTACCACAACACCTAAAAATATTATAGTATTTTCTTACTCAGTTTGTCACAACGCTTGCTATGACTCATAGGGCAATCATTACAACATCTTTTCTTATGCACACACATGTGTATGTACGTGTGTATATTCATGCTTAAATATGCATTTAATCATATACATATGTGCATATCTGAAAAGCTCTTTTTGGTCAGATACCATACCCTCTAGAGTATTGTGCATAAAAACCCAGAAGAGGACTGAAAGGCTGAAGGAGAAGCCTGAAGCAGTGAACGCCAGTTGCAGCTCTGGCCCAGGAGCCTGGAAACCTAGTTACTACCTCTGTTCTCCAATAAACATGGCGTGAGACTGTCATGGGCCAGCTGTCTCCTCATCCTCTAGAAGCTGATTTCTTGGTAAGACAGGTGGGCTTAGGGGCAGAGGACTCTGCCTGGAATAAAGCTTGCACTTATTTCGGTGGGAGGCATCTCAGTGGTACTTATCTTTTCTACTCAGTACTCTAAAATCTGGGTACAGGGCCAGAATGGTGGAAAATGATGACACCTTGCAATGATGGCCAGTTTGACAGAGGGTGGTAATTTTGAACCATATTGTTTTATGATTCTGGAGTTTTAATTTAGTCAGAAATAGCTATTAAAGATTCTTCAAATGTCTTTTCAGCATTTATAAAGATAATCATTTGCTTTTGTCTTGATTAATTTCCCCTTGTAATGGGTTACGTGAGAAGAATTCCTAACATAATAAATAAGGAAAAGGTAGAACTCTTTAAACAATAAGATAAGGGAACGGGGTTCAATGAAGAGTGAATGCATAACAAATAAAGCAGCTAAAAGATGACCGCACAACAAGTAACAATCATACCAGCCTCCCTGGAACTTGGGAATGCTGTCTTCTATGGTAAAGAGATGTGATTTTATTAAGGATCCTGAAAAAAGGAACTAATCCAATAGTGGACTGGGGACCACAGATGCCACTAAAATCTGTTGACATGGAGGAGAGAGCTAACCCTTAGGAAGGAGCAATATAGCCAGGAGAAGCCATACGAGGTACAGCCACAAGCCAAGGAATGCCATAGCATCAAAAGGTGAAAAGGGGCAGATTCTCCCTGAGAGAAGCCTCCAGGAAAAGAGTAGCTCTGCCGTTGCCAGATTTTGAACTTGCTGTTTCCTGAACTAGGAAACTATGAAAGTTCAACGCCTCCTGTTTCTGTGTTTGTTTTTGTGCTGCTGGGAACCTCACCTAGGCCAGGCAAGCACTTTACCACTAAGCTATACCCTTCATCCATGTGGCTGTTGTTTTAAATCACTGGTTTGTGATAGTTCATTAAAGGAGCACCTGGAGCCTAACATACCAAGGCAATCTTCACACCGATTGGTATTTTCATGTCAACTGCTATTTTTATTATAAGGTAATAATTTTTTAAAAATTCTATTTTTCTAAACACTATGTGACAATAATGTAGCAAAGCTGCTTTTGCTTATAGCTACTTGCAGTCCTGCAAACACTGGGTACCCTTCCGCACACTCTCCAGCCTTTCGCTGATGGTGCTGGATCTGCACGCTGCTTCCTCCAGCAAGACGTCTCGAGACTCCTCATTGCTTCCATTATGCTGTGTGCCTCCCCAGCTTAGCCTTTTCCTCCATTCCTGTCCTTGGATGTGTCTACTTGTCTTCATCAACCTGCTGGCTTCTTGTCTTATCCATGTGTCTACCCTAGACCCTAACCTGTTTCCAAGGCCTACTGATACATTGGTTCATTTTTACTGAGTTCCAACTACATCAGGAAGTATACATGGTCACACAACATATGCTCAAACCAAATGTCTGAGAAGCAAAGAAGAAATGAAGCTATGCTACTTTCTTCAAACCAAGAGACTAAAATATGCTGATCTACAAAATGATCCTCAACAAAGAAAGCCCCACACACATCAAAGGAAAAACAGTTGCCTGGTTCCATTTTCCGAGGTGAGGCTGCATGCAAATCATCATGCTAGCAACCAGAGTAAGATACTCACACCACGTCACCTGCATAATGCCGGATTCGGAAGTCCCGGTCAAACTCCAGGACTTTGTCTGAGGCACAGGTCTAAGAGATAAAAAAAAGAACATAAATTTGAAAAAAGGCATTTTCAGCTTCTGAAAGTACATTCCAACATCAGAAATCATGACATCTAAATGAAATCACACTCTGTGGGGTCTGTTTAAATACATGGCTGACAAGGTAAAGGCTTTTGACCGAAATTCACGCAGCACACAGCTACCCTCATTTGCTGGCTGTCCTAAAGGTTGATATGGTCAAGTGGCCAGGTCTGGACAGTAATTATAAACTGTAGCCATCCCCTACCCAATGTGGTCAGAGGTTGACAAATGATGACCTTTATTTAGTTGGATGCGAAGGGTGGTCCCTGGCAGGCGGGGCAGCCAGACAATGGAAGAAGTCTGTCTTTCTGAGAAACAGATGCTTACATCTTTGCTCCACCTGGGAGGGTCACACCGAGGGCTTACTCTCTGGGAGGCACACACACATCACTGTCCTCATAACCTATTCCTAGAGAATAGCAATCTCTGTCACATGGAGACTGAGGCTCAGTGAGGTAGACAGCTGCCACTACATCACACTGCTAGTAAGTAGTAGCCCTGGAAAGGCTCCCAGAAACAGAAAGGAACATGTCTTCATGTACACGGTAGCTTGGCTCATCTGCCTGCTGAGCTGGACTCCATTTTAGGCGCTCTTCATAGAAGAGCAACCTTGCATACCTCTTTTTTATTGAAGGGGAATGCAGGTTTTTTTATGTCCCTGGATTTGTTCGTGACTTCCTCCAACTTTCTTTGCTACAGTAGGGCCAGACAGGCAGACAAGTTAAAATCTACACAGTACCATGTGGTACTGTAATATCAGTACCACTTAGATGCCAGTGTCACACAGCACACAAGCCTATAAAAGGACAGTAGGCTTCAGATACTAAAAAAGGATATCTAAGAATTTCACAAATGAAGAAGTACAGGAAGTCGGAGGTTTACTCTCTCTTTTAATAATTATGTATCTGAGAAAGTGGGGTATTAAATAAACTGAGACCACAGAGGAAGACAATGCAGCCAGTCCTGATGAGACCTGATAGGCTAGGGTCAGATGGAAGGGGCGGAGGACCTCCCCTATCAGTGGACTATGAGAGGGAGAGAAAAGAGAGAGAGAGTGGGACTGGGAGGAGATGAGGGAAGGGGCTACAGCTGGATAAAGAGTGAATAAATTGTAATAAAAAATAAGTATGAAAAAAATAAACTGACACCAAAGCTTTTAGTATAAAAGTGTCTCCAAAAGAATACCCTCCCTCTGCTCTCTCAAAGATGTACTTCATTTTACTGTGTGTATGAGGGTTTGTGCATGGTGAGCATGGGTGCCTTTAGAGGCCAGAAGGGGGTTTTGGATATCGTGGATCTGGAGCTAAGGCAGTTGTGAGCTGCCTGGCATGGGTGCTAGGAACTGAATTCTGGTCCTCTGCAAGGCCAGTATGCTGCACTCTTAACTGTTGAGCACTCTCTCTAGCCTGACTCCCCCCACCTCCGCCCTTTTAAAAAACCCTTTAATATGTAAACTTCCTGAAGGAATACGACTCAAATTATGGACCAGTCAGATATTTGGATAAAATGCAAAACTGTGATTGTCCCCAACACACCAAAAATTCCATTGACTTTTTCTTGTACTATTATATACTTATTATTTAGCTTTTTATTTTAAAATATTTTATGGTTGTTTGGATCATGTGACTGCCACTCCATGGTAACTGTAATGAAAAAGGATTTTTTTTTTAGCACCAAATAGAAGCCATCAATCTTTTATTTGATATGCCAATAAGTCTACCTGATCAGTTAGCAGTGGCAAAAGACACCTGGCTCGACCCAATGACCCAATGGCATTATCTAACAAAAAGGTTTGTGGTGATTTAAGGGTCCTGTCAGCTTGGCTATTTCATTTCTCTCCTTTACTAGCAAAGTTCCTCAAAAGATGGGGCCAGGGAGGTGGCCCATTGGCAAAGCGCTTCTGCGTAGATGTGAGGACTTGACTTGGACCCTTACCAGTTACATGAAAGTTGGGTGCGGTGACAGCCATAATCCCAGTGCTGGCAGGGCAGGGACAGGAGGATACCCAAAGTTTGCTGGCCAGCCAGTATAGCTCAGTCAGGGAGGTCCAGGCTCGGTGAGAGGCCTTGCCTCAAAAGTTAAAACAGAGAGCCAGGGGGATGGCTGAGTGGGTGAAGGCGCTTGCCACACGGTGGACAGCCACAGTGCACGCACACATTGAAAAAACATAAATAAGTAAGTGTAAATGATCTTTTAAAAGTTGGAGAGTATGAGAGAAGATACAGGACATTGACCTCTGCTTACACACGTGCTACATATGCACAGATACCCGAAAGAATGCAACTTTAAATATCCCCTTCTCAGTACTTGTCCAAGGACACTGAAGGAGGGGGAAAGAGAAGTAGGTACTTGATCTGTTGGGAAACTGAAACTACCACACACACACACACACACACACACACACACACACACACACACAAAGGGAAGTAAATAAAAAGAGAAAAAAATCAACCACTATATAAATTATTGTTTAGCATTTCCTGTCAAATCAGTAGCAAGTGCTTAAACACAGACGTTCAGTTGCCTTTAGGAATTAAATTACAGCATAGTATGTTGGCACACACACTGCTAGCACTAGTTACTTGAGCAGCTGAGGATCAGCAGAGCCCAGGAGTCTGAGGCCAGTCTGGGCAACAAAGAGCTACAGTCCATCTCGAAGAAGAAGAAGAAGAAGAAGAAGAAGAAGGAGGAGGAGGAGGAGGAGGAGGAGGAGGAGGAGGAGGAGGAGGAGGAGGAGGAGGAGGAGGAAGAAGAGAAGAAGAAGAAGAAGAAGAAAAAGAATAAACTGAGAGTACATTTAAAAAATATCTGCTTAAGGGGCTGGAAGGATGGCTCAGTGATTAAGAACACCCACTACTCTTCCGAGGACCTGGATTCAAGTCCTAGTTGCCACATGGCAGTTCGCAACTGGCTTTAACTCCAGCCTAAGGGTATGTGATGCCCTCTCCTGGCCTTTGAGGGAATTGTATGTACTTGGTACACATACATGCAGACAAAATACTCATACACATAAAATAAAATGAAAAACAAAATCAAAAATTTTGCCCGATCAACTCATTGAACTCAGTTGTATAAATGACCATGGTGAATAATGGAATAATAATTTGGGGTGTCATTTTTGAGGCAGGTCTATTTAAATAAAAACAACCAAAGTAAGATTTATTTGGAATGGCCGTCGCCAGTTTGGTGTAGCTTCACCAACACTGATGTGCAGTGTCTGGAGGGGACAGCAGTACATGAATCTCCAGAACCTGTAGTGACAGTGGGCATCTCTAAGCTCCCTCCCCACCAGGAAGTTGTCCCTAAAGTTACTATAGTTACTTTCCTCTTTGGGAAGTTTTGTGTCCAGCACTGAGGACTGTTAAACGGGACACTGAATTAGACCTTTGAGGAATAGGTCAGAACTGGCTGAAGAGAAACAGGTTCTCAGTGTTAAAGGTCAGCCTGCACTGGCTGCAGACCACCTTGTAGCTACAAACGACTGGCCTGAGATAGGTGTCAGTCAACAATCGATTTGAAGATGATTCACACTTTCTCTACAGTCAATTGTTGGATGTCTTGCTTTGGATTACATAATTCTGAAGGGGCCGTAGTTAGGAAGTAGATTTATTCATGCAGTGGTGTCAATGTGCCACAGCTCTGTGGAGGAACAGAACTGCTTCCCACTTCTTTCCGGATGGAAAGGGATGGGGCCTGTTTTCCTGGCAGTGTGCGGTTACTGGACAAAGTTGCATTTGTCATGAAGTTGGGGTGACGACGAGGTGTCCCTCCCCAACACAGACACCTAAACAAACAAGACTGCATACTGCATATGAGGTCTAGTACAGGGTCTGATAACCACAACTCCCACAATTATTATAGAAATGAGGTTCGTTTGTGACATTTTTAGATTATAAAAAATGGACAGTTGAAAGGACACTCAGTACACTGAAAGAATGCATTTCTCCATAACAACCATGACTGCAGCTAAAATTTCTCACTTTTAAGCAAGTCACAGGGTCTGAAGAATATAGACAGAGCACACTCCATATTTTGTAAATGAGGAATATGGTGATAAGCCAAGGACAAAAGCAATTTTTTATGCCAGAATTACCAGATGCAGGCATAAAATTCTAGCAAATGAACAAGGGCTCAGCACCTATTGGCTATAAATGACATCATGCTTTCTAAAGAATTCTGTTCATTTTCCCTGCATCTAGAAAAATCCTCAGTCTGTAGCTCCCTCTCCTGGATACTATAATTTTGTCAACCAAATCACTGTATCAGAGAAGCAGACCTCACCCACAGAGATGCATCATGTACCAGACTGTCAGGCGGTTCCCCTGTGTTTGACTGTACATTCTTTTAACCTAATGGAGAACAATGTTGCCCTGCCAAACAATAAGCAAAAATCTTATAGCTCATGATAAGAGGGCAGTCTCATTATTACCTTTCGGCTGGAAAAATGACCATGTTTGCCCAGTTTACTGTTAAGGGCCTCAAGGAACATTCCATCCGTGACTTTGCCAACGTTCATACATGCGTCGTCCAGGATCGCAATGACGCCTTTGTGCTGCTGCTCCACAAGGTCCACAATGATCTGGTTGTTGAAGTAATCAATCTGCGGGACAAGCATGAAAGCAATGTCAGAGAGAACAGGAACCCCATCAGGCAAGACACACAAACGTCACCTTTCATTTCACAAACCTATGAAACACCTCAGTGTCAACTAGGTAGACAGCACTAGTGAGGATGAGCACTAAAATGAGCACACATATTAACACATGCTAAGAGGTTTCTGACTTAATGTCGTCATTCTTTTTATGTTATGAGGGAAACTTCAGGGATGATTATGGACTAAGGCAAAAGTGATTAAATCTTGTCTTAGTCCTTCCTCTCTCCCAGTCGTACACTACACAACCCCGCTCCTTCATTAAGTGAGTCCCCAACCTGTTTGTCATTGTCCATGATAATATGGTTTCCACTAAGTACCTCCAGATAGCCCCAAAGTATCATTTGATGTTTGAAATGAAAATGAAGTCAAAGTACGCTATAGAATCTGCAGTTCTACTTATGTGGCATGCATTGATAAAAATCCAAAGGAGAATTTGGAGAATTCTAGTCACCCGCCACCCCCCAAAAAAGCATATGAGTCTAACTTTTTTGAAAATTTACCAGAAATAATAATTTTCAAAAATTAATTGAGGCATAAGTACATATAAAAGAATAAGCTTTCCACCTGTTTTCATAAAGTGAATAAATAAAGTTAAGGACCTTGGGATTTTTTTCCCCAGCAATTTCAATGTATACAAGGTATAGGTGGATCTATCTACCTTCCTGCTCTGATGGGCTGTGTAGAAACAGCCTGCACAGTTCTCTCTCAGGCAAGCTGTGTGTCACAAAGATGAGCCGCTTCTGAGCACACATTTCAGCATTGTGTGCTGATGTGTCCCATCTCACCTCAAAGGCCCCTAAACTTAGCGTTGTCTCCATTGCCTCTTGAAAGCTTCACAGACTCAGAGCAGAACCAAAGGGTATCTTACAGATTATGGGCCTAAGCCAGTCATTTGCTGTGACTTTCAGCTCCATTTCCAGTCTTTTGTGTTCCTTTCTGACTTTTCTTTGGAATGAACGCCTGAAAATTACCCCACCTTCGCTCCAATCTTTTTTTTTTTTTTTAAAAAAAAAAAACCAAAACACGTTTTTCTACTTTGTCTGAACCACTGATTCTCAGTTGAGATCAGTTTTGTCTGTGGGGACATTTAGTAATGGCAGGAGATGGTTTTGACTGTCACGGCAAGGGGAATGCTTACAGGTGTCGGGTGGGGGAAGGACAAGATGCTGTTGAACCCTCCAGTGAACAGGAGAGTCCTGCTGCAAGAATTACCTAGTCCACAGCTTCAGTGACAGCAGGGAGGGGAGACCTGCTTTAGAATACGCTTTTTGTGGGTGATTAATCATGTTTTCAGCTAGGGAGAAAAGTTGTTTCCACCTTTAGAAAAAGGTCCTAAAATACACAAAATGCAGGAAATCTACTATTAACTGACATTTCAGATATTAGGACTATGAAAATAAAGCCTTCTCTCCTCGGCATAAGAATTACCTTACAATTCCAACTGTATCCTAGAAGCCACTGATCTTTGTTGAAGATTCCAGTAACTCTTGGTATTAGGTTAAATGGTGCTTCAAGCACTGCTTCAAGCATGCTTTTACAAAATCAGGTTCTTCTGGTGACCTGAATGCCCATGAGCTTTTTTTTTTTTTTTTTTTTTTTTTAAATACGGTATATGGGGAGATGGAAAAGATATGACAGCATGGCTTATAGGTATGGAGGTCCTAGGTCAGATCCTCACTCCAAATACAAACACTTTGAATAGCAGCTTTCTTGCCTATGCCTATGGAATCTGAATAAACAACTTTATAATTAAATTTGCTATAAAATCTAAAATTCAGTTGTGTCATATCCACATAGAACATACAATGTACATAATCCATTCTTAGACAGCTTCTTGTAAAAAGATGAATTGAATTTTAATTTTATGAGAGCTCACAAAAGTGTCAAGTTCTTAAAAGTTGAAATGATTTGTAGGGGCTCCAGCAATGGCTCAGTGTTCATGAGCACTTACTGCTCTTAGAGATACCTGATTCAGTTCCCAGCATCCACAGCAGGTGGCTCACAACCACCTGTAACTACAGTTCCAGGGTTTCCAATGCCATCTTCTGGCTTCCCTGGAACCTGTAAGCATGTGGCGCACATACAGACAAGCATGCACACACGTGTAAATAAAAATAGAAATTAAAAAAGCCAAAAAATATAATTTATAAACTTTTAGAAGCAAATGACTCAGAGGGGTAATGAGGTTTTTACAAACTCCCGAAAGGGCTTCATACATAGGCTGTGAGACAGGCTGTGGAGAAAATCGAATACTGAACCCAATCAAGACACTAGATCTAGTCACTAACACACAGACTATACAAGTACACAGAACTGTGTTACGGACACTTCAAGAATTGGATTAGCAAAATCTGAGCTGGGAAACCTTACAGGGAAAAAAAAAATGCTCATTACAGAAAAAGTACTCACTTTTGTCAACAAAAGTTTACAAAGGAGAAAGGGAAAGGGGGTGGCGAGAGAAGGAGTGAGGGAGGAAGGGAGGATGCACATGACCCCAGACCTATGTGAAAAACCTATCAATCAATCAATCAATCATAATGCAAAACCCTTATTTGGGTCCAATCAAGCAAACTGTCACCACCAGCAACAATAAAGCAACTTAAGGAACAGGAAATGATATGAAAGGAATTGTTACTAATTTTTGAGATGGAACCATAGAGCTGTGGTTACAGTTTTTGCATGAGTACTTGTCTCTTACAGAGAAGTGGGAAAATCACAGGTGAAGTAATGGGATGTCTGAATAACTTCAAGGTAATCTGGGACATGTGAGGAAGGTACAGTGGCTCGAGGAAGATGATGTACACATAGCTCATGTTTCCTTCTTACTCTATAGAACTCTTGAAATGCTCTACAGTGATAAAAGAAATCATAGTGCTTAGACACTTGGGTTTCCAAAGGAAACAGGTTATAATGCTGGTGCACACTGACATGCTCTTTCTGTTACTTGGAGCTGGGTTCTTTGTGGTCTGTTTCAGTTCTTCAAGAGCCCTCATCTTTAGGGTTACTTTAGGTTGAGCTTTTCTAAGAAGGTATCTGGATTAGCCATGCTGCAGCTGTTACTCTTTCCTCTGTGAACTAAGACAATAGGACTTGATATTCTGATTGCTAACGGAGGTTTTGTTTTGCTTTGTTTTTTGAGACAGGGTCTTAATATGTAGCCTTGGCTGTCCTCAAACTTGTGATCTTCCTGTCTCAGCCCCTGGAGTGTTGAGATTACATGTATGTGCCACCACAACCAGTTTCAAAAGATATTTTTAATCAGTACCTCCAAATTGCACTTAAAGAACAAATTTTATGAAAGGATTCAAGCTAAGGGAAATAGCTCTGAACTTCAATTGCATTGTATATTAGACAAAAGATTTGTTTTTAGGAAACTTTACATAAACTGAATTGAATTATATTTTAAAAAGCTATGAGTTCACTGTTTATAGTAAATAGCTCTTTTATAATAAAACTGACAACTCCGGTTTATTTTAAATATTGAAAATTTATGCTTATATATTTCAATGAAATTTTATGATATTCTAATACCTAACACATAATGGAAGGCAAAGATATAATTTGAGGCAGAAATGCTATTTATTATACTACCCTCTTTCTTTTTAAAATGAATAAGTAGAAATATAAAATAGGAAAATTTGACTATAAAAATAATTTAAATATGACATTTCAAATAGCTTTTGGATTGAAATGTCAATAATATGTCTAATATCAAAAATCAAATACTGGTCTGCTTTTTATTGTGTGGTGAGAATGCAAACAGTTTTTATAAACTCAGCAATCAGGCATGGCAGCAAGGCACTCAGAAGGTGGAGGAGAATTAGGAGCACAAGGCCATCCTTAATTTCACAGCAGATTCAAAGCCAGCCAGGGAAACATCAGACTATGCTTCAAGAACAAACAACAAAAACAAACAAATAAAAACAAAAGACTCACAAAACAGAAACAAATAACTACAAAAATATCAGAAAGTTATAGAAAATCAATTCTTAAACATCTACTCAGAAAATTTTTGTTTTGTTGAACAAATGTCCTTGTTGTATACTTGAGCATCTTTTGTATATATGCCTAGGAGTGGTACAGCTGGATCTTGAGGTAGCACCAGATTAATTTCCAAAGTGGTTGTACAACTTTACATTCCCACCAGCAATGGAGGAGAGTTTCCCTTTCTCCATATACTCTCCAGCATGTGTTGTCACTTGAGTTTTTTGATCTTAGGCCATTCTGATGGGTGTAAGAGGAAATCTCAGGGTAATTTTGATTTGCATTTCCCTCATGACTAAGGACATTGAGTGTTTCTTTAAGTGTTTCTCTGCCATTCGATATTCCTCTATTAAGAATTCTCTGTTTAACTCTGTACCCTAGCTCTATTCGTAATAACCAGAATCTAGAAACAACCCAGATGTCCCTCAACTGAGGAATGGATACAGTAATTGTGATACATTTACACAATGGAATACTACTCAGCAACTAAAAACAAGGAAATCATGAAATTTGCAGGCAAATTGTGGGAACTAGAAAAGATCATCCCAAGTGAGGTATCCCAGAAGCAGAAAGACACATATGGTGTATACTCACTTATAAGTGGATATTAGACACATACCATAGGATAAACATATCAAAATCTGTTCACCTAAAGAAGCAAGAAGGAGGACCCTGGGTAAGATGATCAATCCTCATTCAGAAAGACAAACGGGACAGACACCAGAAGAGGGAGAAAACAGGGAACAGGATAGAAGCCTACCACAGAGGGCCTCTGAAAGACTCTACCCAGCAGGGTATCAAAGCAGAGGCTGAGACTAATAGCCAAACTATGGGCAGAGTGCAGGGAATCATATGAAAGAAGGGGGAGATGAAAGACCTGGAGAGAACAGAAGCTCTACAAGAAGAGCAACAGAACCAAAATATCTGGGCACAGGGGTCTTTTCTGAGACTGATACTCCAACCAAGGAGATATCCATGGAGATAACCTAGAACCCCCGCACAGACGTAGCTCATTGCAGCTCAGTGTCCAAACGGGTACCTTAGTAAGGGTACTTAGTAAGGGTACTAAGGTACCCTTAGTACCTTAGGGGCTGACTCTGACATGAACTCAGTGGCTGGCTCTTTGATCACCTGCCCCTGAGGAGGGGGCCAGTTTTACCAGGCCATAGAGAAAGACAATGCAGCCAGTTCTCGTGAGACCTGATACACTAGGGTCAGATGGAAGGGGAGAAGGACTTCCCCTATCAGTGGACTTGGGGAGGGGCATGGGAGAAGAAGAGAGAGGGAGGGTGGAATTGGAAGGGGACAAGGGAGGGGGCTACAGCTAGGATACCAAGTGGATAAATTGTAATAGATAGATAGATAGATAGATAGATAGATAGATAGATAGATAGATAGATAGATAGAATACAAATGTGCAAAGAAGACTGACTAGGTCTCATCTCTGTCAGGAGCAGGGGGTTTGCTGGCAGAGAACAGGGAAGCCTGGGGAGTCGGCCTCTCAGCTGTGAATCCTGGACCAGTATCACCTGCTGACTACATTTCATTGGCAAAGTTTGCCTCTGACAATTTTAAATGTTCACAAAGAGCCACGAGGAGAGAGGTGACAGCGAAGAACGTGGAACTGGACAGGAATCCAAGTGTCCCAGCATTACACCAGGATTTGGAGAATAGGATTGTCTACAATTGAGAGCAGTTCACTGCCACTTATTTCACAGAGTAGAGAAAATGGAGGGAGGAACAACAAGGGGGTTGGAAGTAAGTTCATCTAAGGCCAGAGAGTGATGCTAGACTCCAAGAGACAAAGAACAGCCAGGAAGCTGGACGGCATCAGTGTAGTGAAGGTGTGAGGCTTTCAGCTGTACTGAGCACATCCTGGGCACCAACAAGGCAGGTTATCAGGTTAGAAGAATTGCACTGAATCCCTCAAAAGGGGCTAGACTTGCATATCCCAAGGAAGAAGGCTAGGGTCCAAGTGGTTCAAGAACCCCAAAAGGTCAAGAGCTATGTTAAGATGGGTGGCACAGGGAGACGCTCTCCATGAGGGCACTCACATGTTTCCAAGGGATGCCTTCCCGCTGGTATTCCTCTTGCTCCTGCTTCAGAACCAGCTGGATAAATAGCTGCTGCAGTTTCTCGTTGCAGTAGTTAATGCAGAACTGTTCAAAGCTACATGAGATGGAAAATGTTAGGCCTAAATAAAGAAAAAAATAAGTAATAGGGTGTTAAGTATCTTACCCAGATTACCTGTTGTTGTCAAAGATTTCAAAGCCATAGATATCCAAGACACCAATAACCGTGTTTTTCCCATGGATTGTGGTGTCGTAGTTCTTGACCTCAATAATGTCATTGATGCGAGTAACAATCCAACAGAAAAGGCGCTCATATATTGCCTGTGAGAGAAAGAACATTAAAATTTCTTGCCTGTTTGGGAGTGACTTCCTCTGGACTTGGGATGCCTTCAATCCAGCCACCTTCTCCTAACTGTTGAGCACATGTGTGAATTAGAAATGCACATCACCTGTTACAGAAACTGCTACATGATATATGTTAAACTGAAGGAAGCGATCTAGATTTTGAAATAGGTGATTGGCCACTATTTGTATTTTAAGACTACTCTCCAGGCATCCATCCATGCCTTACTACATTAATGACGTACCTGTTCTTCTCACCTCTGCAAACTGCTCCTACTTTAAGCTCTGAGTAAATAGACTTGGATACTTAGGAATTCATGCATTCACTCACTAAATATTTGCTGAGCACTCAGACATATAGTTTGTTGTAAATACAGCACTAAGTACACAGAAAGTCATAGTCTCCAGGGAGCGTAGGAAATGAGTGAAGGAAGACATTACACACAGTGTTTGAGGTGACTTTTAAAAATTACTTATTATGTGTGTCTGTATGTGGGTAAGTGCAGGTGTCCTTAGAGATGTTGGTTTTCCCGGTATTGGAATTACAGGTAGTTTGTTAAGCTGCCCAAATGGGTGGTGGGAAACGAACTTCGGTCCTATGCATGAGCAGTATGTGTGCTTAACTGCTGAGCCATCTCCCCAGCCCTTCCTGAAGTGAATTTAATCTATTCTGTGTTCGGGCAATCCAGGGAAGAGACACTTGGGCCCAGTCATCAGGAAGGCTAACAGCACCATGGGAAAGAAGAACAACCCAAGCCGAGAAATGGCATGTGTAGGAGTCACTGGAAGCAGAAAAGAATGAAGAACTTATGTGGCTTAAGAAAAGATATGGAGAGGTGGCTCAGCAGTTAAGAGCACTGAATGCTCTTCCAGAGGACCCAGGTTCAATTCCCAGCACTCAAATGGCAGTTCACAACTGTCTGTAACTCCAAGATCTGACACTTTCATATAGATATATATGCAGACAAAACATCAATGCACATAAAATTAAAATAAGATAAAATATTAAAAAAGGAAAAGATAAATATGTTGGAATAAGTTGGAAGATAGCAGAAGATGACTCGGGTAAACTGGAGCCACACTCCAGTAGGTAGTAGGTTTCAATGACCTCATTCCCACAGTTTATCTAGTTTGCTTTTCTAGCAGTTATACAGCCAGGAGCTTCATTGAGACAGTGATGGCCAGAGAGTCTCATGGTTTCTAAAAGCCCTTAGCCCACTGTCAGGGATGTCTGAACACAAAGGATTTCACCTATGCTGCAACCCACAGATCAAGTTCAGTCTCACCTTGGCAAAGGCATCTCTGCCGTAGCTAGCTTCCTGTTCCGTGTGCTGTTTGTCGATGATGTCGCGGCCTGTGGCCACCGTCCGGTAAAGAAGGGCTTTCTCCACCATGTCTGTCTTAGTAGAGAGCAATTCTGCTATGACAGACACAACCTTGCCATTCTCAATCAGTGGCGTGTCACCATCTACTATAAATTTTAAATTTCCCTATATCAAAAATGAAAAAAAGACAGCATTTCTAATGAACTTTTGACATACCATGAATTCAAGTGATCTTGCTTATCCTACTTTCCTAAGTATACTCATCCATATGTGAAAGCCTCACACTGATCTTTCCCTCTTTTCCATGCACCTGTGTATCCTTTCATCTTAGCATACATTTTTGATAGAGGTTCTATATTTTTATGTAGTCAAATGTACGAATATCTTTGACATCCTGATCTACGGTCCTGGCCTTGGATAGGCTGGCTGTGCCTTGGAGGCCACTTGCAATCATGTTTCAAGTGCCATTACCATTAGGCTTGGTGCTGAGTTCAAGATCTGAGGAAATCATAATACAACCAACTGAGCAGTCTCCAAGCCTATAGTGGTTTGGAAAACCCTTCATAATATAAAATAATAAAGAAAATCAGAGTACATTTTTCAAAAACACAAGCAAAATTTTCATAAAATAAATTACTTTCAACAAGAAGCAAAATCTGAAAGAGTACCTTGTTCCCACAGAGAGACAATATATTTTGAGAGTCCTTACTCACCAAATGAAGAATAGCAGCCAAAATTTTATACACTGTTTGAATCTCCTCAGGTTTGAACCCAATTACTTTCATGGCATCAGCTACGACTTTGAACTCTGCAGCATCATTGATGGAAGACTAGACATGAACATGAAAATCTTAAGTCACAGACATTTCACATAAGCATTATGAAACTGAAGTGTTTAGCCAAAGTCTTGGTGCCTTTGTAGTAAATCACTTTAAGAATGACAAATATTTTTTAAAAAATCATGTTGGGAATATTGTTTAGATATATGAGGCCTATTTGTGTTTGAGAGCTGTCACCTAAAATAAGCACCACACACTTTCCTGAAAGTTTCTGTCCTGAGTTGAATCACTGATAATCACAGCTCTACGTTCCAGGGAGGGAATGGCATGGGATGTGAGGTCGTGCATGAAACTGTTGAATGTCAGTGCTTCTAAAGTCCATGGTTGGCTGCTGCATCTGCAGCTCTCTCCCACGGTTCCTCTTGTGCAGGCTGGCAACAGCTCTCACACTGTATAATTGAGTTTATTTCCCAGGTGAGGAAAAGCAGCACCTGGAGGAAGCCACCAGCTCCAGTCACTTAGCAAGCTGTTAAGTAGTCCAGCACTATCCATTATTTTTCTCATGTGATAAGTGTCTGGTAACTTATAGCTCCTACCTGGAGCAGAGGAACTCGACAATGAATCTGCCCTAGGAGACATGGGCACCAGGTCGCATATAGCAGTGTGCCAATACTGCACAGTAAAGAATGCCAACTGCTTACATTACAAGTTTTCCCAAAGCAGCTCTGGACTAATCCCTTTCTCCACAAACTGCTCATTTTGCCTGGATGGTGCCCTGGCCTGAAGCTCACTTACTGAGGAAGGGCACGCAAAGCAAACTCCTCTTGCTTGAGGAACACTTGTTTCTTTGTGTTCTAGGCACAACCAGGCAGGCTCATACACCTGTCAGTGTTTTCTCACTATGGGATGGATGCTTAGCCTTATTGAGTCTCAATTTCTTCATGAATTATGTGAACAGAGTAATAAGTTTCTTACTCAAATATCAAATATTACTATTATAACTATATGTTGAGATTGCAGTTCTGTTCCACACAAGGAGATTTCTGCCTAACAGCCATTCCTCTATTTCATTATTGCTAACAGAACAAGATTTTTTAGTCCTCTTCAAGCTCATCTCTGGCTGGCTTGCTCGTAGCCTCAGGAGGCTTCATGGTTCTAAAGAGATCATGGCCATTATCCTGGCTAGTTTATGGTCAACTTGACACAAGTTAGAATTAACTGAGAAAAGGGAGCCACAATTGAGAGAATGTCTCCAAAACAATGCATGCAGGTGAGCCTGTGGGGCATTTTCCTAATTCGTGATTGATTTGGAGGCACAGCCTGTTGTGGGTGGTGCCACCTCTGGGTAGGCGATCGTGAGGTATATAAATTAGCAGGTTGAGGAAGCCACAGAGAATAAGCCTGTAAGCAGCATTCCTCCTTGGCCATGTGTACTGCCCTGGCTTCTTCGGATGGTGGACTACAAGCTGGGAGATGAAATAAACCCCTTTTCTCCTTAAGTTGCCTTTGGCCATAGTTTTCACCACAGCAACAGAAACCTTAACTAAGACACCCATTTCTTCCCTTACCAAGTGAGTGGTCAGCCACAGGCATGTGATGCCAGCGGGAGCTAGCAGACATGAGGAAAGCACAGAACGGGCTGTGTAAGAGGGGCTTAAGGGAGGTGGATGTGTATAAAGTGGCATTTCCTTTGCCTGTGCATGCTGGGACTGCTGGTAACATTTTGAACCACAAAACAAAAACCAGAAGAGTGACGACAAGTCAGTTTACTGAATGTAGCAGAGCTGTAAGTTAACCAACCAACCAACCAACCAACCAACCAACCAACCAACCAACCAACCATGAAACCCCTCTGTGTGGCTGAGGCACTGGATCTGACCATCCCAGCACTTGCTGTCATACAGGCTCAGCGAATTCCTTGCTGTTTTAGAAAACCTTCCCTGGATTTTCTCTTACCCAAGATCCAAGGTTATCTTAAATGCACATGAGTCCTACATTCTAAGATTAATTAAAATATAGGTAATACTTTATGGATAGTATCATAATTTCTATTCGTATGGGGAAATGATTATGTTGTAATATAATAACTGTAGGCTTAAGCAGAATTTGTTGTATGATTTTTATTAATGAATATACATACAGAGCATTACTAATTATCATCTTTGCATGATAGGATTTAAGCATATATCTTAGGGGTTTTTCTTTTCTCTTTTTAAAATGGAGTGTATGGGTGTTTTGCTGCATATATGTCTGTGCACCACGCATGTGCCTGATACCCAGACAGGTCAGAAGAGAGTATCAGATCCTCTAGAGCTGAAGTTACAGATGGTGGGTGCCATCATGTAGGCGCTGGGAATCAAATGAGGGTCCTCTGCAGGAGCAGGCAATGCTCTTTACTGCTGAGCCACCTCTCTAGCCTCTATCTTAGGTTTTGACTATGAGCACATATTCTTTGTTTTTGTCAGAAAGGAAGGGAAGAAAAAGTCCAAATGGAAAACCAACAAAAATAGTACAAAAGATGAGTTTTATTTATAAAGAAGTTCAAATGTTAACTTAATACTTAGTATTAAGCTACATGACCTGGCAGAAAATAATTTTGATAATAAGATGGTTTTCTTGTAAGGGAATAGCCTAGCCACTAGCTGTAAGTGTCGATTTCACAATCCTCTATAGATATTTAAATATTTCTGGCGATGCTGAGGAAGTTGGACCATTGCCTTCTACAGTTTTATTTTTAGTTCATATTCAGCCAAACACTTCTGCTCTTAGAAAACTGTAAAAGGGCGGCCAAATAATAGAAATAATATAAAATTAACTATAAAACCTAATTATCATTTACTTCTATGAACAGCAATAAAAATATTGCTAAGCCAGTAATGAAGGTATAACTAGCTTAAGTGGAATAATAACTTAAATAAAAAACACTTCTCACATCCTCTTCTGTCAGAGATCTTTCCATTCTTCACCCAGCTAAAATCATTGGCGCTTTCTCTTGTTTAGGCTGGATCTGGCTGTGTGGCCCAGGTGGGTTCAGCCTCTGTCTGCCTCACTTCTTCAGTACTGAAGTTACATCATGTGCCACTGTAACCTGGGAGTGTACTTTTTGTCATGGAAAAGTTGAAAACACAGAAATCCAGGGCACAAATGCGCATGCTCACACCCTCCCGGAAGCAACTGTGACCCACGCCTCTCTAGTGTTTCCTGCAGTTCTGTTCCTCCCCTCCAGTGAACTAGGCGCCATCACATTTCCTTTTTTATACTCTTTCCTCAACCCTGCGTTCTTCAAACTGGCTGTGAGATGAGTAGAGGAAAACTAATTTAAATAAAGAGAAAAATGGGCTGGCTAAATAAAGAGAAAAATGGGCTGGCAGATGCGTATGCAAGTGACTGCAAGCAAGGGAAGGAGAACATGGGTCCTTTTGGAGGATGAATACAAAGAACAACATAAGGGCCACAAAAACTATTTTTAGGATAATCACAATCAATATTTAAAGACAGTGGGAAGCTGGGTGGTGGTGGTGCACACCTTTAATCCTAGCACTTGGGAGACAGAGGCAGATGGATCTCTGAGCTCTAGGCCAGCCAGTACCAACCACACAGAGAAATCCTGTCTTGAAAATCAAAACCAAAACAAAACAAAAGTGGGGAAAAAATTAAAGTATTTTTAATCTCTTTTTGTCATAACAACATGATTTTGGCCAAATCACATTTTTATGAGGAAGGCTTGCTAGTCCTCAGTGTTTTTATGGTTTCAGAAAAATGGAGTCAGATCAAATATTAAGAGATATTAAGAGAAAACCCTGAACACGGAGAGAGGAAATTCTCTGTTAGATGAGGACAATACAACCATGCAAGGTTAGTTAGCCAGGTTTTCGGTTCAGTGGCAGAGTAAGTTTTAGACTGAGATTTTTTAAAAGCAAAAGAGGGCATTTGCAAGAGGGCAGCCGAGGGGCTGAGTGAACAGGTTATGTTTCCTCTCCCTCCTCTTGGTTCTCGAAGAAACTCACCTTCAATTGTGCCCCCACACGGATATAGTTGTAGGACGAGAGTGATTTCTGCAGGTGTAGAGAGTGTAGCAGCTGCTCAGAACCTCCCTGGAGTAGCTGGAAAATATTTAATTTAAATTAAACTGCTGTGATGGATAATATTGGTTGTCAGCTTGACTGAATTTGGAATCAACTAAGGGCAAGCTGTTGGGTATTCCTGTGAGAGATTTTTCTTGATCAGGCTATTTGAATTGAGAAGACCCTCCCTAAATGTGGGCAGGACCTTTGAGTGGCAGCCTAGATAAGAGGAGGTCCAAGGGAAAAGCTTTGCTTTTTGTCTTTGTATCTCGCCAGTCAGTTCATCTACTCTGTTGCTGCTGCAGTCCCAACCACCACTACTACATTCTTTTGGTGCCAGAACACGGTTTCTTCAAAGTCCCAAGGAAGATCAGCAGCTCCAGGAATTTCCTGGGCCTTCAGCACCAGATGGGGACTACTGAGGCACCCAGCCTCACGGGCTGAGCATCTCCTGGGTTCTCAGCCTCTCCAGCATGGAGACAGCCATTGCTGGATGACCCAGATAGTATCATATAAGCCAATCTAATAAATACTGTTTTAGTAAATATTAATTCATTTGGTTCCACCCCTGTGGGGTTCCTACTGGATAATGCAACTGTCAAAGCAGATACGGATCCCCAAATGTCAAATACTCTAAATTAACCATGATCTAGTGTCTACTCATTTTCTGGGCTTTACACATTTTAGGTCCTCCTGTTTCATGCTTTGAGGAAACTTTTGAGTATTGTTTTGGCCTTGTTGTTGTTCTTACTTATAGGTAAAATGGCTTCTATATATTAAAATAGACAGAATGTTATACAGTCATGAGGAATAACACTTAAAATGTCTCATTTACAACAAAATTGGTCTAAAAGGTTCTTGCTTGGAATGTTATCATCTGTAAGGATCTCTGCCCTGAGGTGCTGCTTAGCAGTGTCATCATGCTGAATTTAGTATGTCAGCATTGTGGGAAAGAGGCATCAAATGACAATCTCAGTCCCATGTGCTCAACAGCTTTTCCTCAGCTGTCACAGCCAGAGTGAAGATATCTCACTTCTCAGACACTGGCAAAGAGCTGTAAGTTCTTGAAATAAACAATTCTTATATTTTAAAGAAATAGTTTATCTAAAATCCAGCAACTTGTTAGCAGAAGCACAAACACAAAGCAGTTTATCCTTTTGTTTTATTACAAAGCATGCCTTCAAGAGGCCTTGTTGTGAAGGTTCTGCACTCAATAGTAAGCTTAAGCTGTACAGTTATCAGACTGTAAAGAATGATTTTTTTTAACCAAACGTACCAGAACTTGAGTGCTATTGCCCAAGGCAGTTATCTAATCAAACACTGCTGTATTCGGCTGTCCTGTCACCGTTAGTCATCTTCAAAGACACTTACACAGAGATCAGTCTTTTCACCTCAGTTTTAAATGTGTGTCTGCAGGTGTGTTCCTGTGGGTGGGTGTCATTCTTTGGGTTCCATTCACTTTGTTTTTGTTTTTTAACTGGCCTGGAGCCAGACATCCCCAGGACTGTCTCTGCCTAACTAGCACTAGGACGGTACATGGATACCACCAAGCCTGCTTTTTTTAAAACACAGGTTCTGAGACTGAACTCAGGTCCTCATGCTTACACAGTAAGTATTTTTATCAACTGACGTATCTCTCCAATCCTATAGTTTTCATTCTTTAAATTATGGTTTATATCACTTTGAAATTAAAAATCTCTAAATTGGTTTATATTACTTTGAGATTCAAAAATCATGTTGCTGACTTGCTCTATGAGTGCAGATGTGCCAAAGGAGGGTTATTTAAGAGTTTGTTTCAAACTCTAATAACATTCCCCAAAGGCGTACTTATTTTTTTGGAGTGTTGACGGCATGGAGGATAATTCTCCCTTGAATTTCTAACTCCTTGTTTTTGTTTTTAAGGTAATCATATTGCCCTACAGCTATCAAGAGCAATGAAAACCAAATTTACGATCACACCTCTGGAACTCTCAAGTACAAGAGGAACAACTCAATTCAAAAGCAAATGAAATCAACACATTTAGAAGGTGCCATAAACAAACAGAAGCTTTCATGGTCATCACCCTGTTACCTCCACTTTGAGGAAATGCAGGTGATGTCCAGCCTGGGAGCATTTGGTTGACCAGCCACCTACCAGCTCTCACAGTGCTCACACTCATAGTCTCTTAGGTTGGGGAGGGTGTGTGCAAGCCTGTACGTACATGTAATTTGTTGTGGAGACAAGGAAAGCTAGACAGAGAGAGAGGTGTAGGACAGATGAAGAGTACACTAGAAAGATTTTTCTACACGACCAGGCAAATGATCAATTCTCTGCGTAAGAACCGGTTACTGACCTGGTAGAAAGAATGGAAGCTTCGCTCTCCTGGCTGTTGCACAATCACACGAGACTAAGGAAAAATATTGAAAAAAAAAATGGTTAGTCTGAAATAGAATAGACATTGGTAGTGGATGGAGGGAGGGAACTGGGTAGGGGAATGGGGTGAAGAGGGCAGCAGGAGGGATCTGGTGGGGGAGGGTGGAGGGAGGGAGTACTGGGAGAGAGAACCAGAATCTGGAGGAGGGAGACTCTGGGAAGAGCTAGAAACCTAGGACAGTAGAGACTCCAAGGGATCTATGAGGGTGACCCTGGCTGTATGGAACCTGAAATGGCCATCTCCAGTAACCAGAAAAGACTTCCAATGAAGGGACTGTGACACCGACACAGTCAACAAAACCTTTGATCCACAATTTGCCCTGCCTGTACCGATGACTGGCCAGCTTGAGACCCAGGCCATGAGAGAGAGCCCACCCATGACACAATGATATTCTGCTATTCTTGCAGACAGGTGTCTGGCATAACTGTCATCTGAGATGTTTCACCCATCAACTAATGGAAACAGATGCAAAGACCCAGAGCCAAACATCAGGTAGAGCTTGGGGAATCCTGTAGAGGAGGCGGGGAAAGGATTGAAGGAGCCAGAGAAGTCAAGGACACTACAAGAAAACCTACAGTATCAACTAACCTGGGACTATAGGGGCCCGCAGAGATTGAAATGGCAAACAGAGTATTGCATGGCACAGACCTAGGCCCTCGGCACATATATAACAGCTGTGCACCTTGGTCTTCGTGTGGTACTCTAAACAGCAGGAGCAGGGCTGCCTACTCTGTTGCCTGCCTTTGGATCTCTTTCCCCTAACTGGGCTGCCTTGTCTATACTCAATAGAAGATGTGCCTAGGCCTCCTGCGCTTGATATGCCAAGTAGGGTTGATATCCATGGGAGGCCTCCCCTTTTCTGAGGAGAAAGGGAGGACCGGAGGATGGAGGTGAGTGGGGGTGGAGAGAGGGAGGGAAAGTTGCAATTGGGATGTAAAGTAAAAAATTAATGCAAGAAAAAAAAGGTTAATCTGGAAATGTAGGTATAAATGAAACAGAAGTAACTTTCTTAGAGAATCTTGTATTTACAGTACATTTAAAAAAAATCTTTAGCCAGGTTGGGGATTTAGCTTAGTGATAGAGCCTTGCCTAGCGGGCACAAGGCCCTGGGTTTGGTCCTTAGCTCAGGGGGTGGGTGTTGGGGTAAAAAAAAAAAAAAAAAATCCTGTGGTGAAAGTTTATCAGAGATAGGTGTTCCCAATGGTTTTCCTGGCACTATTTTGATAATTTTTTATATTGCTTAAAATGGGGGTGCCTTAACATTCATGAGAAGTGAAGCCATATTTTTTTTTAAACCTGGAGTCTAAAGATAGTATGTGCAAGTGGTAGGGATCTGAGTGGGGAGAACGAAAAGGAATGCAAGGGAGGAACATTCTCAGCATTCCCTTGTTCAGAGTCTGCTGGCATTTCAAAGAACAAGGCCTCACATCCTATAATAGAATCAGTCAAACATGATCAGGCCCTAAGGACTCTGCTGAGATGCTCCAAAAAGACTGCTCAACATGCATGTTCCTGCTGAGTGTTCTTTTTGAATATACACGCACAGTGGGATCATGAAACACTGTGGAAGAGAGATGACATGGGTAATACTTATTGTTTCCTATTTCTTTCCAACTGACTCTGAAAAAGCACTTATTTCCTTAATAAGCCTTAATAAGTCAGCCTCGATGTAACAGACAAAAATAGAAATTACAGTGCTGTAAGACGCTGTGGAGTTACTGAGATGGGAGACCCTTGACCCAGAAGCATCAGATCACAATTCAAGGGGAAGGTGACCGGACAGCGTGGCTTAACTGGACTGAGAGAACGAATGTGTGTCTTGCTGCCGCCAGCTTTAAATATTTATTGTTTTCAGTAAGAAAACAGAAGCTAGAGGAAGGAAAATTTCCGTTTAGTTTAAAGTAAACTGGATGGATGATGGCAACATAAAAAAAAAAAAAAAAAAGTCTAGGTCTGTAAGCTGGGCATGATGGTACACTCCTGCAGTCTCAGCTCTTAGAAAGCTGAGGCACGAGGATGGTGAGTTACAGGCCTGCCCTGGCTACACAGAAGGAGGGAGGGAGGTTTGGCTGGTTTGGTTAAGTCTTACTCAGAAGTTGCCACGCGTTCTCCCTGTCCCATGCACGCCCCAGTTTAGCACTGACAAAGCCTTTTCTAATGTGCTGCACTGAGTGCTCATGTGAGGATGCACAAGGAGAGCGTTTTACCGTGGAAGGCAGACTTGAAGACGAGTAATAGGAATAAACACTGCTTTAAAGCAATAAATGAAATTTTACAAATACTATTTTTAAACAGTCAGCTCTCACAAGCATCACCCTAGAAATCTAGCACATTTACCTTTTCCAGCAAGTAGTTATTAATATGTCCCCCAATGGGGTCTCCCTTGAAGTCAAAGTTGATATCCATGTATTTCCCAAACCTGCTCGAATTGTCATTACGATTGGTTTTGGCATTTCCGAAAGCTTCCAATACACAGTTAGACTTCAGTAACATATTCTTCACTCTTTAATGAAAATATATCAAAGTTATTATTAAAAAATTAAGAGATGAAGACACTTAAAAAACTGGATAATCCTAACTTCATTTTAGTTCTTATCTCTTGTTTCCATTTCACTGACAATATTCCTCTCACACAGTCACACCTGTAGAAATAACCTGGTCTCTGACACAGCCTCTGCTCAGATTAGTGGAGCATCGTCCCTCCCACTAACCCTTCAAACTTCTGCCCATAAATGAGTGCATGCTTTACAAAGGTGTGTGTGTGTGTGTGTGTGTGTGTGTGTGTGTAGGAACTGCTTGCTTACAAAGGACACCGTAAAACGAGAGCCCAATATACTCGAGAATTACAGCAAATTCACATAATCCTTAGCTGCTATATAGAAATGAAAGTAATTTAGTTCTAAGCTAGCTACTCTCCTGAGATCCAAAAGAAATTACAAAAATTTGATCAAATGCTCACTCTCAAATTAGACTGCAAAGTGAAAAACCAGAAGTGGGAATATGTCACAATTTTTTTAAAGGCCTGTTTTGACAGGGTAATCTCAGTTACAATGAAAATGCAAAATTCACATAGTATCATCAAATCTAAATTCTTTTCCTTTACCTCACCCAGAACCCTGGATTCTGCCTGTCGAGCTGCCTGTGGTGGACAGATGAGTTGTGATTCTTCAGTAAACTACTGTTCAGCTTTAGAGCAGTCAACCAGGAAAGCACCCTTTTCCTCTTGGAAACTGCTGCACCGCATAAGAAAGCCGGTCATGCCGCTTCATTAAAAACACATGACCACAATTCACATACCTCTTAAGCAAACTGTGTGCCAGGCACTGTACTCATCTGACTGTGAACCCCACACAGGGCAGTCCGAGACCCTTCACACATGAACCTTCCGTGGACTTCCAGCATCAGTGGGTTATGGGCCTATTTCTTTCAGGGAACAAGTTTTAAAAACACAGAGCAAGGAACCTGCAGCGGCTTGAGCAGTAAAGCCAAGCTGTGCAAATTCCAAACTCTGCTGCTGAGGTTGAAAACTGGCTGGAACCAGGACACTTTCAACTATTTACAAGTATAATTTTTTTTTTAAACTCGATAAAGCTGGAAATTGATATAGCAATAGAAGTAAAAACAGAGAGACAATATGCAATGTGAGAATCAAAGCAATTTACTATAAAAAGTGCTTGATGTCTGTCTGTCAGTTCAGGCCTAGCCCGGTCTGCACACTAAGAGAAGCCAGGCCCAGCCAACCCGTGTCCCTGAGGTGCCCTTACCTTTCTACCTCTGCTCTCTGGCTGGGGTTGGTGATGGCAGCGATATACTGCATGATGTACTTACTGGCTTCTGTTTTACCAGCTCCACTTTCCCCTGGAGGGAAGAATTGTTCAGGAGTTAACACCAGGTTAAGCCAGGAGTAAGCTCGTTTGTCAACAGAGTAATTTAAACCTTTGATGTTTATTCATTTAAAATTCTGTTACTTTCTCTTCTACTCTCCCTCTAGTCCCTCCCTCCCTCCTCCTCTCCCCCCCTCCGCCCCTTTTTATTATTAAGTTATTTTTTTTCCCCCTGGGCTGCTTCTAATGGATATAAACATGTCTTTAAAAAAAATGACAGAAGCAAAATTATCAATTACAAATCAATATTTAGTTAAGGAAAAATATATCAAGGGGTAAATTGTGGTAAACTAGTTCCTTAGAGTAAGCAATCACTTCTTTTTTTTTTTTTTTTTTCTTTTTTTTTTTTTATTTATTTATTTATTTTTTTTTCTTTTTAGTTACATTTTGTTAACTCTGTGTCCCAGCTGTATCCCGCTCCCTCATTCCCTCCCCAACCCCACACTCCCTCCCTGGTCTCCTCCCTGCCCCTTTCCAAGTCCCCTGATAGGGGAGGACCTCCTCCCCTTTCATCTGTCCCTGTTTTATCAGGTATCTTCAGGGCTGGCTGCAAAGTTCTCCTCTGTGGCCTAACAGACTGCTCCTCCCCTGGGGGGAGGTGTCAAACAGCCTGCCCTTGAGATCCTGTTAGAAATAGTCCGTGTCCCCCTTACTTTGGAAAACTACTTGGTTACTGAGCTACCACAGGCCACATCCGAGCAAAAGTTCTAGGTTATATCCATAGATGGTCCTTGGTTGAGATTCAGTCTCAGAAAAGACCCTGTGCCCAGATATATTTGGTCCTTGTAGAGCTCCTATCCTTTCCATATCATACTAACTTCCCTTCTTTCATATGATTCCCTGCACTCTGCCGAGGGTTTGGTTATGAGTCTTAGTGTCTGCTTTGAAACACTGCTAGGTAGAGTCTTTCAGATGCCTTTTGTGGTAGACTCCTGTCATAAGTTCAAGGCACATCCCATTTGTCTTTCTAAATGAGGATTAATCACCTTCGCCTGTGTCCACTTTCTTGATTATCTTCTTTAGGTGTGTAGATTTCATTATGTTTATCATGTCTTGTAGGTCTATATAAGCGAGTATATACCAAGTTTGTCTTTCTCCTTCTGGGATACTTCACTCAGAATGATCTTTTCTAGATCCCACCACTTGCCTGCAAATTTCATGATTTCCTCCTTTTTGATTGCTGAGTAGTATTCCATTGTGTAAAAATACCACAATTTCTGTATCCATTCCTCCGTTGATGGACATCTGGGTTGTTTCCAAGTTCTGGCTATTACAAATAAAGCTGCTACGAACATGGTTGAACAAATGTCCTTGTTGTGTACTTGAGCAAATTTTGGGTATATACCTAGGAGTGGTATAGCTGGGTCTTGAGGTAGCACTACTCCTAGTTGTCTGAGAAAGCGCCAGATTGACTTCCAGAGTGGTTGAACCAGTTTACATTCCCACCAGCAATGGAGGAGGGTTCCCTTTTCTCCACAACCTCTCCAGCATGTGCTATCACTTGAGTTTTTCATCTTGGCCATTCTGATGGGTGTAAGGTGAAATCTCAGGGTCGTTTTGATTTGCATTTCCCTAATGGCTAATGAGGTTGAGCATTTCTTTAAGTGTTTCTCTGCCATTCGATGTTCCTCTTTCGAGAATTCTCTGTTTAGCTCTGTTCCCCATTTTTTAAGTGGATTACTTGGTTTGTTGCTTTTCTGCTTCTTTAGTTCTTTATATATACTTGATATTAGCCCTCTGTCAGATAAAGGGTTGGTGAAGATTCTTTCCCAATCTGTAGGCTGTCTATTTGTTTTGATGACAGTGTCTTTTGCTTTACAGAAGCTTTTCAGTTTCATGAGGTCCCATTTATTGATTGTTGCTCTTAGAGCCTGTGCTGTTGGTGTTCTGTTCAGGAAGTTGTCTCCTGTGCCAATGAGTTCTAGGCTGTTTCCCACTTTTTTTTCCAGCTGATTTAGAGTATCTGGTTTTATGTTGAGGTCCTTGATCCACTTGGACTTTAGTTTTGTGCAGGGTGATAAAAAGCAATCACTTCTGAGGATAGCAGAAACAAACTCAGGTGTTGATTCAAACATTAACTGCAGCCACATTTGCATGACCTTATTTTCTATAGAAAAATTATTTTAAATTTATTGGCAATAAAGTAATTAATCACAAAAATTAGAGTCAAGTGCTCACAGGCCCAGCTACTGAGGAGGCTGTGGGGAATTTCTGAAACTGGTTAGATCCAGCTTCTTACTTTAAAAAAGTATATATATATAATATAAAAAAGAAAGAAAAGACAAACAAGAGTCTTAAACCAAAAATTGCAGTAATTTTAGTGAAAAAAGAAAACACCAAGCTTGAGACACAAAGCAAGTGATAATGGGTAAAAGTGGTGGTATTGGAGGGATTGATTTAGAATTTTCATCTATGTGTTTAAGCACCAAAACTGCACTTTCTGAACTTTCTCCCAAGGGAATATTTTTAAAAGTAGTATAACCAAACATTGTGTCAATCTCCCAAGGCTTTAAAACCATTTTTAAATTGGGCTAGTAGTCAGATTGATACAGAATTGGATAAAAATCATTAATTACATGATGGGCTTGCTAAAGAGAATGTGCTAGTTCTACAGAAACCCCAGTGAGAGTATGTCCACTATATACTGCTGAATGAAAAAACTGACTTTGTAATGGTGGGTATATGCCTACAGTTCTGTATTTTTACTTACTATTGCATGTGAGGCTCTGCGTACTTAAACACGAAGAAAAATATATAAAGGACACACACTAACCATCTGCTAATTCTGGGATGTTGGGGAATAAGATGGGGTTTTTCTTTGTCCCATATCAGATGGGTCCCAGCAGAACCTCCTCTGACCTCCTCCCCTCCCCCAAATAGCTCTTGCCATTGCTCATGGTTGTTCACTAAGCCTTGATTCTAAGGCCCTGCTACTGAAGATACTATACACTTTGGCCACTGGACATGTAGAAATCACGCTGGAACAGACCTAGAAGCTTTCTTTCTGCTTGCTTGCTTTCACAGTACCCAGAAGGTGCTACGGAGGCTGCTGATATTTGGTGTTCATCAACAAGTTTTCTAAGCTATGACCTCTGTGAGCTGTAATAATGGCATAAATGTTATGAGGATAACGGACTACTAACTGATTATATTTAAGGCAGACGCCACAGGAAACTCATGCCTGGTACTGTAAACTTAACCAAGAACCTGTGGCTGGGGAGGCTATAGCTCTAGGGGAAACTACTATTACTTTTATAAATGGACATAGTCTCAAATTGTCTTCTAAATGCTTATCTTTTTAAAAAAATTATTTATTATTTATATAGCCTGCACACCAGAAGAGGGGCACCAGATCTCATTACAGACGGTTGTGAGCCACCATGTGGTTGCTGGGAATTGAACTCAAAACCTCTAGAAGAGCAGACAGTGCTCTTAACCTCCGAGCCATCTCTCCAGCCCTAAATGCTTATCTTTATACCCAAAGATTAATGCATCTCTCAGTCCTCATCAGAGAAGCTCCTTTTTGCAGTGATAGTGGTTAATATAGACTCATAACTAGTCTGAGAGCAGAAAATAAGGGTCTGGTGCAGGGCTTAACCATAAGTGAGGAAGTTATCTCATAAAGCTCAAGGAACATCATGGAAGAAGGGGTGGAGAGATTTTACAAAGCAGAAGTTGGGAAGGACTGCTGTGAAACTGTCTTCAAATCATGACAAGGCCTTTGTACCCATAACTCACACTGAGCAGCTGTGGATGCGTGTACAAGACCCCACACGATTCATGGCAGTCAACATTCTAGCATGGGTGGGAAAGAGGCTCACAAGGCCCAGCCCTAGCTGAGGAGCTATTGACAGTTGATGGCTACTTCAGGGAAAGAGCATCAGCTTCTTTCAGGGGCGTGGATCCTGGTAGGTTGACCATGCTCAGTGGATAGCCCTACAGCCAATGAGTCTAAAGGCACCACCAATTAGATTCAGGTGGGTTAGAAACAAAAAAAGACATGAAGTTGGGAGAAGAAAATGGTAGTGATGGGAAGAGTTGGAAAGGAGGGAATTGGGGGTGATAAGTGACAAAAATAAATTGATAAATAATAAAAATATTGTCTATTTAAAATTCTCAAAGAATAAAAACAGGTAAACAACAAGGACTTTTTATTTTCATTCATAAATTTGTGTAATGGGTCAACTCTTTAAATGTTTTAAATTGTTTAAGTTATTAAAAAAAACAGTATAATCCTAAGCTATAATTCTCTAATTCCAACACTAAGTTATTTAATCTTCTGACCCTTATCATTTTTATCTGTAAAGAAGAAAAATAACTATGCTACATACCACTTAAGGTTGTTTTGATAACCAAAATAAAATAATGACCATAAAAATATTTTGAAAAGCACAAGGCCACTAAAGTAAATGGGGGGTATTATTAGCATCAACAGAGATTCCCACAGTTTGAGAGGCCACCCTGGGCCAGGGAAAAGATATTTTCCTTACCCTCATGTTAGTAGGCGGGCTGCTGCAAGGGCTCAGCACTGTGTGAGTGGCTAGGCTCCCATTCTGTGCACATGGGCTGCTGCTCATCCCCTTGTCCCAGAGTTTCAAAGCTCAGGTCCCAAGTTCAGGAAGCCCATTCCCACCTGAGTCTGTACCACAGCACCGGCTTCTGAACACCAGTCTGACTTTGAGTTCACCACTTACATTTGGCATCTAAGCTCATCATTTTTTTGGTTGTTGTTTCATTCTGTTAACATTTGAATCATGTTTATGTTTTATTTTATTTTTTTTGTGTGTTTCAGATAGGAGGAATCATATTCCATGTTGGCTCAGTCTACAAGTCACCAAAAGGCATGCAGCTCTAATGTGTACTCTTTTCAAATGATGTGGTCTTGTTATGTTGCTTGGGCTGGTCTTGAACTCCTGAGAGTTCAAGCAATTCTCCTGCATCAGCCTCTAAAACCAAGACTAGAGGATGACCAAATATGGTAGAAATAATTTGGTATTTAGTGTTCATTACTTTTTTGGGACCAATAATCTTTTGGGTTTCTAAGTTTAAAAAAAAAATAAAAAGGGTCTCATCAATTGTGTAAATTCCAGAGTACAAAAAAAAAAAAATAAAAAAAAAAAAAAGATTAAATACCTTTTGACCTTGGAACCAGGCCCCCCTCCAAATACCTGATATCATAATGCAGGTGTCTTTTGATCGCCTCTTCATAGCCTTGTAAGCAGCGTCAGCAATAGCAAAAAGATGAGGAGGTCTCTCATACAGCTCACGGCCTTTATACTGCTCAACCGTGTCCCTCCCATAGATGTTCAGCACCTTGTATGGGTTCACAGAAACGACCACTTCTCCGATGAAGGTGTAGATACGTCCTTTCTCAAATCTGCACAGAAGCAAGAACAAAAGGTAGCTGTGGTAATGAGGATGTCTGATTTCTTTCCTTATAGTCTATTACCAAGCAGGTCCAAATCGCTCCAGGAACTGTTCCTGAACTGACAATTCCTCAGTTCCCAGTTTACCTTTAAAAACCACATTACAGCTTAGTGTGGTGGCTTGTGTCTATAATCCCATCTCTTAAGAGGCTGAGGCAGGAGGACTGCTGTGAGTTCAAAGCCAGTGAGTTCCAGGCCAGCTTGAACTACTGAGTTAGACTCTGTCTTAAAAATAAGCACACACAAATAAAAACCCACAGGCTATATTTGAGTCAGTCATGGTAGGTTACACTTATACTCAGCTATTGCAAGGATGAGGCAGGAGGATTGCTGTGATCTGGAGGCCAGCCTTGGCTACATAGTGAATCTCAGAAAAAAAAAAACAACAGCAGAGACTATATCTGATGCTACTTCAGATGCCACTAGTGAAAAAGGCCAATAGGGTTTACAAGCCAGGCAAGAGAAACTTAACACTCAGAAGGTCATGGATTTGCCTTTCCCAAATACAGAAGGTCAAACAAGAGAGGGAAAAAAATTGGAGAAGCCCCTCACAGCTCTAGGAGGAAAAGAAATAGAAGTTAAACCAGGTCTTGGAATTTACTTCACTGGATTTTCAATTACAAAGAGGCCTGTTCACATTTATTTCTTTTCCCTTTAGAAGCTTCACTAGATTGTCAGTAAAGAAATAAACACAGTAAAATCCACAGCAGAGAATGGTAGAGGAGACACTTCTGATATAAATCACATTGCTTTTGTAGTTACTGCCTGGAATCCCATGGTGTAGATACAGCATGATTTATGCAGTGATCTCCCTTCCCTCCTGCTGCTCTGAGCAACACTGCAGAAAACACCCTGGACACACAGCTTACAAATAAGTGGGAGGGACTCAGGCATGGAACAACTAACTGACTGAAAGTGTCTATACATTTAAGGTATATAATATGATCTCATTTTTGTATGGGATCACATTTATGTATGTGTGTCTATCTATATACACATTTGACAAATGAGTACATGTACGCGTGGCAAGATATTATAGAACACAGGCAGTATGGATGGGGGGAATGTATTGATCCTTATATACATACAGTGGAGCAGTATGGATGTGGATGGGGAGGCTGCTCAGAAGAAGCCATAGGAACAAAGTAAAAATAGTGAAAGCCTCAAGACTGGAATTGTAAACAGGGATGATAAATGCACATAAAATTTACATAAAGACATAGAAAACCCACACGTACTATTTACACAGTAACCCATACCTATAAGTATGTACAAACCAGAGCTTAACTGTTTCTGCCTGAGTGATTGTTACCGATACACTCCACCTGCTGAGAGGCACAGGCAAACATAATCATCTTTCAGCATTCACTGGAGATTGGTTCTATGAGCCCTCACAAATAACAAAATCCATGGATGCTTAAGTACCTTATGTCAAATGTCCTAGATTTGTGCAAAGCTTATATACATACTCTTCTATACCTTAAATAATCTGTAGGCTATACTAATTCTTCAACCAATTTATATGCTATCCAAACAATTGTTACATTTTTAATCTGCAGTTGGCTGGATGCGAGCATACCACATCTGTGAATATGAGGAAAGTTTGTATCTCACTTCCAAGATCTGAAACAGTGCTGGTCCATGGGCATTTTGTCTCCAAATGCTCTGCTGTTTATAACCAATGGACAAGGAAAATTAATTAACAATTTGGGACTAGTAGGCAAAATTTTAAAAACTTCCTTTAAGATGAAAGTTGTTAGCTATAATGAAGAGTGGAAAAGCAAACAAATATAGATGTTGTGAACAATAAATTAGAATTAAGATTTTTTTTTTATCAAGTAGTTGGCATGTATTTAAATAACTTATCAACCAGTGAGGTTTCCTGAGCATTTTTCTATTGTCGTTTTCCCACTGATAGCAAAAGCATTAACTTTGGGATCCATCACATCTGGGCCTGACTGCTCACATTACTAACAGCAGTGAGACTGTATAAAAGTTATTTAACCTCCTTGTGTTTAGGCCTCTCCAGATGCACAGTGGTAAGAATTACACCCCTCCATTCTTCTGGCATTGAATAAGTGTTTTTCCTATTTTTTTCAAAAACGGCAATTAATTTTATTCTTCTGTTACACTATGCATGGAGTGATGGTTATTTGCTTGTTTTGAAAGAGGGTCTCTCATAGCCCAGGCTGGCCTTGAACTACATAGCCAAGGTTGGCCTTCAATTCCTGATATGCCTGCCTCTATCTGAGGAGTGCTGGGATTGCAGGCAGGTACAGATTCTTTACCAAATGTTTTTATTTTTATTAACACTTCCCCTACTCAATAGTCCCTATAGATTAAGAATGGACTAAATCATCAAAATGTCATTCCTTGTCACAGCTGTCAACCAACTGCAAGCCACCAACCAGATATCTATGGCTATAGCTTACATTTAAGGACCCAAGAATATGGAGCTGGAGAGATGCCCAGTGGTTAATATGGTGTACAGCTCTTGAAAGGACCTCGGTTCAGTTTCAAGCACCCACGCCAAGAGGCTCACAACTGACTTTAACTTTTAATCCATGGGCTCCAATACCCTCCTCTGGCCTCCGAGAGCAACTGCAAAAGCCTTCTAAAGAATATACACGTGTTTTTTAAATCCACACAGAAATAAAAAGTAAGATTCATCACTCAAGCCTCTCTCACCGGATCTGTGCATACACAACACAGGCTCAGCAGGGCGTCGCCAAGGAATTGAGAAGCACATGGTTGCTTGTTTTTCAAAACTGCCCAAATAGGAAAAAATAAAAAGATGAAAAGAAGCAACAGGCTGCTAGAAAAAAAAAAAAAAAAAGCTATGTCTGAGCTAGTCTGACTCAGTGGCATGATGACATACTTTCTCAATGGGGGGTTCTTACAGCCACACATGGGGTAGTCTCTGAAATTCTGTATTACTTCAAATTAAATATTTTGTTTAAATCTCTAAGCATCATATTTTCAAGATATAAACAAAACACGTGCAAAGTAGCAGAGTGAGCAGGGTGTAGTGGCTAATACCAACAGTCCCTGATCCTAGAAGGCAGAGGCAGACCAAGAGTTCAAGGGCAGCTTGGGCTCCACGGTGAGACCTTGTCTCAAGAAGGTATAAAATGTTTAAGTCATGTTTACAAACCATGTTGCTATAAATCATAATAGTCAAACTATTGATTGACTTGAAGTATGATTCAGAAGCTCAGCAAAATATGACATTAAATAAATGCTTCAGCAATTTAAAAAAATGCTCTAAAGTTATTTTTGAAATTCTAAACTGGTTTATATAGAATGACTTTGAACTTCGTTAGGTCTCAAAATTACCACTAGATGGTGCCACTCCACACTATAACATTGTTTGCAGTTTCACAAAGCTTCGGTACCTGAGGGTGGAGAACAGCAAAGTAATGGGGAAGATGTGCAGCGATTAACACTGGAAGATGAACAAGAGACACCGGGGTCCAACAGAACAATGACAGCATGTCTACGATCTTTGTGTGCAAACCTGTTATGACAAAGTGTCTACTTTGTGAAATACAAGGGGAAATTAAAAGAGGAAAGCACAAGAAAGTTCAGTAAATAAATCATAGTAGAGAATAATAGGAAAGACAATAAACCATGTGCTATAGTGGCAAAGATGATAAAAAAAACCCCTTCCAATGAGGGATCCTAAAGTCCAGACAAACTCTACCCGCACACACACATCCCGTCCATGAGAGGAGGAAGGTGGCTGGCCTGAGCAGCGCAGAAGGCCATGTTAGCGTGTTCACGGAGATGATCTGAATGGTAGTCTCTGGAAGCCTGGTGAAGTGAGTTTAAATTTGATGTGTCTGGACACCAGGAATGAGCAACACGTTTTGTAGTTAAAGAGACCAATGAGATGCTCAATGAAGGGTGTGACAAGAGAAATTAAGGATAGAGAAATCTCAATTATTTTAGGGGGAAACTGAACAGAATATGAAAACTTACCAAATATAAAAGGGAAATTTTTATTTAACTTTAGGCAATAAAGGGGTTACTTCCATCATATCCTCCCAACTCCCTTACATCTGTCTTGACTTTTCACACGGACTTACTCTGTAACTCAAGCTAGCCGAGAACTCTAGTAACCCAGGCAGGCCTCAAACTGTGGCAACCTCCTGCCATAGTCTCCTGAGAGCTACAAATGTGAGGCACCACACTTGGCTTCAGACTGTATTTCACATGTACCCTTGAGGCTTCTTAGTCAGATTCACTCATTAACAATCACTGCTGCCCTTGCTTGACATCAAGTCCATGGAATCATTTATAATCAGAAGAAAAATGCTCTGAGTGTGTATTTAATAAAAATCCTTACTCATGGGCACTCTTTATTTGTTTTATGAGGAAAATATGCTTTCTGAAAAGATGGTGCTTAATCATAATTGATTTGGCCTGGCTTCTGTTTCCACTGCAAATGAAGCCTCCTGTGGTTGAAACATCCTTGTTTCTCAGGAGAGGCATGCAACCTATGATGAGGCATATATATATATATTTTTCCTTCCATTCTTATCTCCTCAGCCAACTCCAATCTGGGCACCACTCCTGTATTTCATCACACTGTCCAACTTTCTGAAGTGAGCGACCCATGAACTCTGACCCCTGTTAGAGGTCCTTCATCACAGTTTCTGAGCAGCATTTGTCACAGAGTCCTATTGCCTTAACTTAACCAGCTTCTCTTGGCTTCTGTGAGCCCACATTTGCTGGATTTTCTTCCTATTTCTTTGGTTTTCTTTTTCAGGCTCCTTTGCTGACTCCTCTCTTTCCAATTATCTTTAAACATCCAAGTTCTCTGGGATTGAGTTTGGGACTAACTTCAAATACCAACCAAGGAACTCCTAGCTAAGGAGGACAATATGAGAGTATCTTCTCTCTCTGAAATCATCAATAAGAACGAGACAGAAACCGGACGAGAATGCAT